ACGCACCACTCACCCTCTCCCGCCACTTCAGCAGCAGCAGCAGCAGATCCTGGCCCTTAGGCTGGGTCTATCAAACGCGGATATATCAAGTTTGTGATGTCATTAGAGAACACTTGATGTGATAGGAGCACGCAAGACGAGTAAGAAATACAACTAAGATGGGCAGGTGGGAGAATAATTGCGAGACTAGCTAATACCCTGTAATTTGTGTGTGCGAGAGGGATAGAGTGCGGGGGAGAGAAAGAGAGTTACTTGATTTTTTGGTTATATTTTATAAATATTTTATACAAGATGTTTAAAGACCAACTTCATTTTGAGGTTTTAAAAAGGAGAAAAAAAATCTTAAAAAACTTTTTAAAAAATATATAATAAAATATTAAAGTTTCAAAAATTATTTTTAAAAATATTTTCCTTTATTTTAAACAATCTGAAATTTCCCAAAAATCACACTAGCCAAAGTACAGATCAGACCTCAGATAAAGTCTACATTAAAGTTGTAGCTGAACAAGATCAGAGAAAATTACTTTTGGCAGTGCTTTGAGATTTGGAAAACATTGTTAATAGCAGTGTCTAATATCTGATGGGGATTGCTTTGAAGAAAACCGAAATAGATATTTATGAATACATTTCACATTTCAAGTCTATTAATTCACATAAATAATGAATATAGCCATAGCTTCAAGGACTTCGACTTAATCTCCTCCAAAAATGAATTCAAAGTTCTATAAGGCTGTTCATTGAGATCGTGGCCCATTAGAAAGTTAAAGTATTTTATAATGGACTATGCCTTTCATATATACTTTTTAGGTGAGAATAGAATTCGAGTTGGGTAGATTTAGAAGTTGAGAGAAGTTCTCTCTGATATGTCGTTCAGTTCGATGTATGTTTTATATAATTATATATTATTATATTATTATATTATTCGTATCAGATACAAATTTGTCTTTAAAATTTATAAAAACAATTTTTAAAATATATAAAAATAATCAGCCTAGGAATCAATAACTAAAACTAAGCGTTGTGTGATTAAGCTAACAGAAATATCATTACATCTTTAAACTTTTTTCTGTAATCTAGCTTTACTTTCTTTTCAATAATAACTGCTTTACCCAAATTAAATTACAAAATTAAAAACTTTAATCTAATCAAGTCTTATTTTAATGAGTATTTAATCAGTTTTTGATTCATATATAAATATACAAATATAAACTCTCGATTCATTATGCTGAAAAGCAGCATCAAGCACAATCGAGAGTTTAAAAACCGCTTAAGCTCTTCTTTTGAATTTCTTGGGAAATTCTTGAGAACTCTTCGAACTACTTAAGAAACTGCTGTTTATTCCGATGCTCCAAGAAATTAACTTTAGGCTAAAAATAAATAATTATAGCCGCTTTTACATATCAGATCAAAGCGCGAAAATTTGTTGTTGTTGTTTTGACTTTTTGGCGAGGGTTGGGCATACCTTATTTCCGGGAAATCAAAAAATCAGCTCCATGCACACACCAACACACGCACACCCCATCACGCTCACACATCAGCACACACACACATAAACACGTGCACAGTCAGAGAAAGGCATCGCCGTCATTGAAATGCTCAGGGCACTTTGTATTAAATTCACTTTGCTTGTCACCTGCCAGTGCCTGTCTGCCCCACCTGCCCACCTACTGCCACGCCTTTACCACCCACTTTTTTTCGTGTTGTCCTGCAGCTGTCTGGCACAGCGGCCAAGTTACCTTTTAGTGTCTGAGCCTGGCCAAGCACATGACACTGCACAGATCCCGGCAAGGATATTTTTATCAGCTCTAGCCTCTGCCTGCCTCATTCACATTTTTTTCTTTTACCTGTCTTTATCTATTCTCTCTCTCTCTCACACACATTTTAGGTCCTGCTGTATGAAGAAGCTTCTTGATTTCCTTCGTTATGCGGCTTCTGATGGTTCCGTTTGTGTTGCTGTTATCGTTACGCTGTGTGTCTTTGTGTGTGTGTTTCTTTCAATACGCACTTTATAGCAAGAAGCTGGCCAACTGCTGCTGACTGCTGCCGTGTGTGTGTGTGTGTTAAGTGGCAGTCAAGCCGGCAATGTAATTTGTTTGACTTTCTAATTACGCGCCATACACACACACACGCGCACACACACACACTCACATAACTGTTTCGCTGCGCTTGATAGCAACTGCCATTTAACCAGTCGATTAGCTGCAGAAGTAAAATGCTTAATGTTTAATCTGTGCTGCATGTTTTGTCAGTTATCGTTAACCAGCTACAAAATAACAGCAAATTGTTACGCCCCACCAGCAACCACACACTGACTGCCAAAAGTCAACCTGCTCAATGAAAACAACAAAAAACAAGAAGAAGCAGCAGAAAGAACTTAACACAAACGCAATCAACAACATCATCAGCGACGTCGCGACGTCAATAGTTCAGAAGCAGCACTCGGCAGCTGCCTCAGCTGAAGGCGATTATTCAAAATGGTTGGTAACACAGCTTCGAAGACATACACACAAACACACATACGTACACACACGCACACGCACACGCACACATATTTGCCTTGCCAACAGACAGGCGACGCAGATGGGGCGTATACGCAACGCGCTTGTTTACATTGCTGGGCGTGCCGCAAAAAATACAAAATAAATACTAAAAAAAATACAACCAAAATACTGCGTGAAAAGTTGGGCTGCTCAATTTCCAACAAAATTTAATTTCTATTTAATTTTTTTCTATTTATCTTCCTAGAAAAATAAATTTTACTTGCGGTTTTAAGGTGTAAAAGCTAAACAAGCAGCTGACAATACATATATATGCCACATGTGGCACGTGTGGCATGTGTGGCTATGTGTGTGTGTGATGATAAGACAACAACATGCTGGCCACTTATAGCCATTTTCAACTAACGCAATTGCCTGTCTGTAACTTAAGACGCATTTTAAGCTAGCTCTCGCCAGCCCTCTCCCTCCCCCTCTCTATCTGTTTATATCTCTATCTCTATCTACATCTATATCCATGTCTAGTTTGACTGTGTGTATCTTATTAATTGAAATCTTATCGTTTTGCAACATGGTTAGCAACGTGAAGCGCTTGCGGTAAATAGCTTCATTTATGGCTCAGGGAAGCATTGCAAGAAATTCGATTCATGAAATTGGCCAATAAAAATATCTATTTCATTGGCAAAGGAGGGCAAGAAAACGTTTTACAACACTTACTTAAAAGTAAGAAAAATATGAGACGCAGCTCCTTGTGTGGGTGAGTGACAAGCGTATTATATATAGACATGTTTATATAAAAATATGTATATATATGATTAGTATTAAGAACTAAGCTGCTTTAAGCTACTTTCAAGCAAAATAACTGATAAGGAAACAATTAAGCGCGAGGAAATGGAATAAAAGCAAGTAAGAGTAGAAGTAGAATGAAAAAAAATGAGAAAATGAAGAATGAAGATTAAGGATAAAAGAGAGAGAAGAAGCGAAAAAGAGAAAGGACTAGAGAGAGAGAGAGAGAAAGAAAAATAGAAAGAGACAGACAATAAGATTGAAACAGAAACAGAGAGAGAGAGAATGAGAAACAGAGTAAGTACAAGAAAGAAAAGGGAAAGATAGTTAAAGGAACGGAGAGACGGACAGATACAGAGAGGGCGATAGAAATATAGATAGATAGCGAGACTGGGAAAAAGAAATAATGAGAGAGAGAGAAAGACAGGGAGGAAGAGCAATAAAATATACACTCTGAAAAGAGAAAAAGAAGCAGCAAATAAAAGAGAATATTTTTTGCGGAAATAAAAGATAAAATGAAATTGAGAATACGAATGAAAGTGAGAATGAAATTGAAAATAAACACGACAGGGATAATAAGAAGAAGAAAGCTAATGGGAATAAGAATGAGATTGAAAAAGAGATAAATTGAGTATAAGAAATAAGTGAAAAGAAAAGATTGTGATGTAAAGATGAATAGATATAAAGAGATGAACACAATGAATACACTGAGAAATTTTCATCATCATAAAGAACGAGATAATGCCACAAAAAAGCTAATTTATATAAATTGATTAAGTTTTTTTTTGTCTAGTCAAACATATTTCTCACTACCCACGTACATTTTAAGCTTGAAGGCCTTAAATGCTGTTCGAATGGCTTACAGAAAGAGTATATAGGAATTAGTACCAGTCAAATGTTGCTGCTTCTATATATGTATTGGGCTATAATCAAATTATATACGCTTTATATATTACAGTTTTATATATATTTATATATGTTTGTATAAATTGCAATATTCCGTCAAATTACGACTTATTTACAATTAGTACAAAAAAACAAAAAACATACGAGTATTACTATATAAGTTCTTAAGTACTGGTGGTAATACAAAACACACACACTTATGAGAAGTGAAAATGCGCACTGCAAAAATGAAAAACATATATGTATGTATGTATGTACTCATCGTTTCTTAACATATGCATATATACATTTATCAGTGTACACATAAGCATTCCTTGCTTTGTCTCGTTTGATAATGAAAACTTTTGTAAACTTCAATGTAACTGAATTGATCATGAATAAGCTTTGGTCATTTATTTACCTTTCGCTAACTATATACGCACTAAGCAAACAACGAGAACAAAACGAAAATTACAAATGTCACCTGCAAAGTGTATCAGCAAACTGATCTTCAGTGACAGAGCAGAACCTCAGCAAATTGAGTGAGAGCGCAAAAGCACTCAAATGGAAAATGGAAGCAATCGCACTCAGTAGCAAGTGATGAGAGCGAATGAGCAATGGGCATGCACATAGCAATCAGCGTCAGTTGCAAGATGATGTATTAACACTAGCATATATATACATCCATATATAGACATACTTACACATATTTGACACTCTCAGTTATTTGTAGTAGCGCCCGGCGCACTCGCACTCTTCTGCTCACACTCACGCTCATTCTCTCGCGCGCGCTTACTTGCTTACTTTGTTTTTACACTCGCGCCGCTTTGCTGTCGTCGCGTCGTTTGTTCTGTGGCTTTGACGCCGCTGCCGTTAGTTGAAGTTCATGCGTCGCTGACGACGAGCGCGTCTGCAACGGTGACAAAAGCGCTAAAATACAAAAGAAAAAAACCAAACGAAAACAAATTCAATAAAAATACCCACGCCTCTCTAATGATCTTGACAAAAAATACATAAAACGCAAATTATTACGAAATATTTAGAAAAAAGCTAATAGAAAAATCAATGGAATTTTAAAGGTAGTTCAATCACTCAATAAATGCATATAAAAATTGTTTTTATAACAATTGAAATACTTACCGTGATAAATTTAACACTATAAATAAAATGCCATTAAAATCCCATTTACTAGGAAAAAACGCACAGACAATAAAAATTATAGTGAATTGAACGACAACAACACGTCATTAACGTTGTAAACACGCAGCGAAACTGTGCGAACTACGAAGGAAGGAATATGAAAAACTCTGACAATGTTAAGCATTGTGTAAAAGAAACAACAATCACGTGAAAGGTGCCTACTGAAAAGGGACGCGGACAACTTAATTTACATGTTTGCTTTATCGCTTATTCTGATAACGGCTTAATCTCTCTCACACTTTCGCATAAGCTGGCTGTTTTAAGCTCGCTCTCTTGTGATGCACTCGCTTACGAGTGCGGTCGTTCGCTCTTTCGCTCTGTCGCTCTCTCTCCGTCTCGTGTTCTAGTTCGACCGGCTTCACGTGCGCCGGCTCAAGTGCAGCTTCTAAACATAAATAATAACAGTTACATGTATAGCAACAACATCTACAGCAGCAGCTGGTGCAAACTAGTTCGATTACATATCGAAAAAGCGTCTCATCAGCAAAAACAACAAAAAAAACCTGTTGCGAAGGTCAATGAACAGAAAACCAAATCGCAATTGCAATGCACAGTTATTATTGTAGTATTCATAAATTAATTAGTATATTGTAGCAAACAAAAAATACTTTTTATTGCTTCAAAATTAAAGCTCTTCATTCTTTTGTCTAAGTAAAAGTAAATATAATGCTAAATTTAGCTGTGAATCGAAGACAAAAGACGTCATAAGAAGACGCATGCAATGCAGACATAAATAAACTGTTATAAATGGAAATCACAAGGAAAACAGAATTGAAATGAAATCACTGCACACACACGCACAACACACACACAGAGCAAGCCTCGCTGTCAACAATAAATTCTTTTCAAATCAGTTTTCTAGTAGCTAGAACCAGCAGTTCCGGGGAGCTGCTAGGGGTTGTTCCACAAGCAAAACAAAAGTGTGCCAAGCGCACGTACATTTTATCAATGCTCAACAGGCTTTAGCGGGCTCAACGGTATCTGTATATATGTATATAGAGTATATATATGTATTCTAGTCTAGTTTTTGTTGAAGTATATTTAATGTTTGCGTTTTGTTTATATTAAACACATTGAAGTTCTTACTGCAAGTTTCATTTACTCATATATACATACATTCATATATCTAATATTTCGTCTTATCAGCATTTTATCTAATCTCAAAACAAAACTGCCTCAAAAAAATGATTGAAGTGGTCAAAAGTAAAGAAAAACAGTCACATCGAGTGCTAATTGCTATTCACTAGTTGCCAGAATGCGTTACGCATCGTTGCCTTAGCATGTGCTCTGTCTCTCTCGCGCTCTCTCTCTCTGTCTCCGTCTCTCCCTCTTTCCGTGTGACAAGTTAATCATAGTCTCGCCGGCATGGGAATTGTAATGTAATGCTTATCTTCAACACGAAGCGCCCAAATATAAAGGCAATTTTCAATCGCGATCAGTCGTTCGACCTGTAAAGACGTGAATTCGAACAGCCTTCGCTTAAGCTCTACTGCTGCAGAGTTCTAAAAATAGAACTTTGCGGTGCATTCTTCAACGCAACAGCAACAAAAACCGCACACGCAGCGTTTTCTTATCGCTTGCTTCCGCGTAACTCAATTGCTTTAATTGCAATTTACGAAATTTCGTCGCTTGGCGCGAGTGCGCCTGCACTCAAAAGCACAATCCGCGATGACATCTAATGTCAATAACCTCGCTACAGCTGTAAAGGTAAATGCAGAAATGCAAGCCCAGCTTAACGTTGTGATGGCAAATAGGCAAGCCTCCATCATGCCAATAAACTCAAAAATAGATATCGCCTCCGTGCAAGGCATCACTAACAACAAAAACACGAAACGTAAACAGCCAAATTCACCAAAAACCATCAAGAAAAGGCTCATCTTCGACGAACCAAGCACCAGCAATGCAGCATTAATATCAGAAAATCGATTTTCACTGCTCGTAGAAGAAGATGAAGACTACAGCGAATCACCTGTAGCTCCAGAAGCCCCAGTATTGACCGACCAGCAAACTACTCCGAAACCTCGTCCGCCCCCCATATGGTGTCCAAACATCAAGTCTGTGGCCCTACTTCAACAGATAATAGATAAAGTAATTGATGCTAAATCATACGTAATTAAGCCAAAGAAGAATAACATAGGTGTATTAACCCAATGCAGTGAGGACTATCGCAGAGTTATAGACCACTTTACTAAGCTGGAATTGGAGTTCCACTGCTACCAGCTTAAGGAGGACAAACCATATAGAGTCGTGTTCAAAGGGCTTCACTCCAGCACTGATACAACACTAATTAAAAAGGAATTGGAAACCAAAGGCCACACAATTACAAATGTGCACAACCCACTGAGCCGTATGGACAAAACACCGCTAAATATATTTTTTGTTGACGTGGCTCAGGCCCCCAACAACAAAGAAATTTTGGACATTCGAGTTGTCTGCAGGCAACGCTGCACAGTGGAACTGCCAAGAAGATACAACGACCTGACACAATGCCATCGCTGTCAAGAATTTGGACACACACAACGCTACTGCCACAAAGCTCCCAGATGTGTGCGTTGCGCCGGGAAACACGCATCCAAAGACTGCACCCGCGAAAAGGACCAGGCACCAACTTGTGTGCACTGTGAGTTACAGCACCCAGCCAACTATAAGGGCTGCCAAGTATACAAGCGGTTGCGCAAATTGCAATCCCCAGCACAAAAAAGGAGTCCCACACAAACACCGTCTACGGGTCCGAGTACTGCTTCCGAAATTACAAGGCCCCGGAGCATTACCCAAGCCACGAGCTTTGCAACGCCTATTAGTGGTGTTTCTTACGCACAGGCCGCTAGAGGTGGACCGTCAAATAAGAATACCACAAGTGACACTTTGTTCACTGAAATGCTTCAGCAACAACAACGTCAGTTTGACGCAATTAATGCCGAGCTCAAAGCGATGCGAGAAGTACAATCCCAACAAGCAACCATGCTAAACAGTTTAATGGCCATCATAACCAAGCTTGCCTACAAATAATGGCTTTACGTGTGGGTATCTGGAACGCCAATGGCCTGAGAAACAAGACTCAGGAACTGGCTGCGTTTCTCTCACAAGAAAACATAGATATAATGTTAATAACAGAAACTCATGAGTGCCCCACTACACAAATTTTCGGATACGAACACTATCAGGCTCATGGTGAAGGAGCAAACTGCTTTGGTGGATCCTCAATCCTCATACGAGCAACAATACCGCATACACCTTTACTGCCAATTTGCAACGCAACAATGCAGGTCTCAGCCATCACCCTGCCTACGTCTATTGGAGCGATCGAAGTTGCGTCAATTTATCTTCCGCCAAACACTGGTCTGTGTGATCATCACATGGAACAGGTTCTAGGCCAAAGGTTGAATAAGACCCTCATCGGCGGCGACTGGAATGGATGGCACCCATTTTGGGGAAGCAATAGTGCGAATCGTCGCGGAGAAGTCATATTTGAGGCGATTCAAAACTTACAATTCAGCATATTGGCGACTGGAGCCCCCACCCGTTACCCAATTAATGGACACAGGCCCTCGGCAATCGACTTCGCTGTCTACAAAGGCATCTGTGACCGGCAATTGACCATTGAAGAATCCTTGGACCTATCCTCTGACCACCTGCCACTAATAGTCACAATCCACGCGCAGCCACAGCCCTTGCCCATTAGGAAACAACTACTGCCAGCAGGATCAGATTTAGGAGTCTTTAGGCGCGAGCTCCATTACTCTTTGCACATAGAAATGGAACTTAACACTCCTGAAGACGTGGACTACGCAGCAAACAAACTGCAGGAAGAAATAGTCAAAGCTGCGCACCAAGCCGCCCCACCATCTTGCCAAACAAGACAACAGTCTCCGTACAACATCCCCCTCACCTTGGAGGCCCAACACCTACTAATACACAAAAGATGGGCCAGGAGACGCTGGTTAAGATTACGCACGCCTGATGCCAAATCCATGTACAACGAAGCCACGAGGCATCTTAAAGCTGCTCTCGCCCTGCTTCAAAAGAGGTGTATCAGCGATGCGCTGGTACGAGCTGAATCGCCCACTGACGCAGAGTTTCAATTATGGAAATTTACAAGAAAGCTCAAACGGCAGCCAATACGACGTCATCCCATTCGGAGCATTTCTGGTTCCTGGCACATTGGAGACGAAGCTCAAGCTGAGGCTTTTGCAAACCACCTTCAAGACCAATTCACGCCGGTGATTACCGCAGAGGCCTCAGAAATCGAAGCAACAGAAGACATCGTTCTCTCGCCCCTCCCAGCTGAAGACCAGATAACTGGATGTACAAAAGAAGAGGTTCTTGAACACATCAGAAGAGTGAAGGCAAAAAAATCCCCTGGATATGATCTAATAAACGGCAGAGTCCTTAGAGCACTGCCTGACTCCACCATAGACTACATAACTATGGTGTACAACGCCATGCTCCGCATCCGGCACTTTCCAGCCTGCTGGAAGCGCGCCGTGATTGTGATGATTCCTAAGCCTGGCAAACCCGTGGGAGAAATTGAGTCGTACAGACCAATTAGCCTGTTGCCAGTACTCTCCAAAATATTCGAAAGAATATTTCTGGAACGAGTACTGACACATCTGGGACGCCAGGAGGCCATTCCAAACCATCAGTTTGGCTTCAGGAGACAGCATGGAACACCGGAACAGGTTCACAGAGTTGTGCACCATATCCTTGGAGCCTTTGAAGAAAAGATGTACTGCTCTGCCGTCTTTTTAGACATCAAACAGGCGTTTGATCGAGTTTGGCACCTGGGACTGCTGCAGAAAGTGAGGACCACCCTTCCAGCCCCATTTTTCGCGTTGCTATCCTCATACCTTATTGGAAGAACCTTCCAAGTGTCAAGGGGGCAAACAGTATCCTTGACTAGACCAATTATGGCTGGAGTACCACAGGGTAGTGTTCTAGGCCCAACACTTTATACTTTATTCACAGGAGATATGCCAACTCCCGAGCCAAATATAGGAAGTACAGATGCAGTACTCATAGCGACCTATGCAGATGACACCGCCATCTTATCACGTCACGTATCTGCGCAAGAAGCTTCAGACTCACTACAAAAATATCTGGACTCTTTCGGACGCTGGGCAAAACGGTGGTGTATCACCATTAATGCACAAAAGTCTGTACATACTACCTTCGCCACTAGAAGAGGAGATTGCCCAAGCGTTGCATTGGGGCCCACTATTCCCAAAGCCTCAAAAGTAAAGTACCTTGGTATCACTCTTGACAGAAGGCTGACTTTTAAAGCGCACATAAGTCAAGTAACCTCAAAATGCAAAAGCAAGCTAAAAACCCTCGACTGGATGCTGAGAGCTTCAAGCAAGTTGTCTTACAGCAGCAAGGCCGCCATCTACAAGGCAATAGTTGTCCCAACCTTCGTATATGGTATCTCTCTATGGGGCTCCTCGGCGAAGACTACAAGGAACAAAATTCAGACCCTGCAGAATAAAGCACTACGCAGATGGACTGGAGCCAGCTGGTTTGTAAGAAACTCAGTCTTACATAGGGATTTAGCAATTCCCACAGTTGCTGAACTCATTGGGCGACACAGTTCAAGATACGCGGACAGACTTGCAGCGCATCCTAACCATCTCGCAAGCAACCTGGCTATAAACAACAATAGGCGAAGACTGAAGAGATTGCATCCTCTAGACAATATTAGAACTAATTAAGATAGTAGCTACAAGTGCAGAATAATTGGCATATCTGCCCTCCCATTAGTTAAGGTTTAGAGCTAAATGCGCTATAGAGTCTAAGACAATAAGCTGCAACAAAATAAAGAAATAAAAACGAAAAAAAAAAAAAAAAAAAAAAAAAAAATAAAGGCAAACGACACAATAAATATGCGTATGAGAGTGCAAAGCAAACGAAAAGATAAAATAACAAAGTCAAAGCGAAAACATAGCCGAAGCACTTAAGACATGTAAACGACGTAACGTTTTTAGCTTAGATAACAGGGCAAAGAACCCTTAATGCCCTTGAGATATAATTATGAATAGTTCAAAGAGTCGACTATGGTCTGACTAAGATTTGTAGTGTAGTGTGCTCATTAATATATCAACTTAATAGTTCAGTTTGTCTCTTGTCGATAGTTGAATACCTTTTCTTTATTCCCAGAAAGAAATTGAGCTATAGAGCAGCAAGTCTAGTTAGAGTTCGGCTATAGCCGCGCTGTTTTATAGTGTATTCATTGCCAGACTTTGCTAGTTCCATGATTTTGCGTAGTTTCTTTAATCTAAAGTGCATTTATATACTACATACTATATTATTTATAGCCTTCAAACATTTTTCCCTATAATTTATGTTTTTTTAGATCTGCCGATTATAATTTGCTTAGCACAAATGTTTTTTGTTCAAATATTTTTTTTTTGAGTCCATAAGATTTTAAACAAATGGCATTAATTTAATTTCTTTAAAAGCGCAAAGCATATGCTTTGCGTTCTACGCTAAAAGTAAGTGGGGTATATTAGCTAGCTTCATTGTGTTTGTAGTGAGTGGGCTAGGTAGTTGTAGAGATAGATTATATAGTTAATTAAAGTTAATATTTGATATAGAGCATAATTAGAGCTAACACTTTAGTATAAGTTAGCTCAACACATATATTTCTTATTTATGATGTATTCAAATTTCCATTCTGAGTCCATCTGAGATTTCACTGCTTACTTAATACCCCTTGTTTCAGGTAATTCCTAAAAGCAATCATTATTTTACTATATATACTATCTCACTCAATATATTCCTTATGCTAGAGTATCTAGCAGTCGTTACTCACCAACTGCAATTCGTTTAATATATTTTAAAATAGTTTTCGTGGACCGGAAGAGCATTCGTAAACAAAGTATCCACACTTCATGTATATGAAACGAAAAGAAAAGTGAAATAAAAAACCAAAGTAAACACAAACTAAACAAACAAATAAACACAAAAACATACATAAATATACTTCTTTCAACTAAAGCGAAATTATACTTAAACAATTCTGCAAAAAAACTATATATATAGTAAAAGACACGTAGACACGCTGGGGACGGGCTGGAGTACGCCTAATGAAGCACTCGCAGCGAGAACGACGACGACAACAACGACAACATAAATGATGATGATAATAATGATGACAATAATGATGCGAGTGATGACAAAAGATGGTTGGAGAATGACAAGCGCCCACTAATTATGATAAATGCAATGTAGATAATAAGCAAAACCCCAAAGAACCAAAAGCTCAAAGCAAGTGAAACACACACAAACACACACGTGCACCCCACAAAGAACTCCCGCGTGGAACAGAAGCAGCAAAAGAAGAGCCAACAACAATGTCAAAATATCAAAAACTTGACAACGCGTTGGCACCCACAATGCACGATGACGATTACGATGAGAGTTTTTTACTCTATGGGGATGAGAAGCAGCAGCAGCAGCAGCATCCCAATCCTAGCAGCAATCATATAAGACTGAACAGCACTCACATGCCAAATGGTAATCCCAAATATCACTATTCCAACAACAACAACAACAGCAGCAGCAGCAGCAACAACAACAACAACAACAACACCAACACCAATCTGAATCCAACGAGAGGCAGCAGAGCCGAAGCTTTGGATCTGGATGAGCACACGTGGGAGGTGCCGCTGTTACGCAGCGGCGGCGGCAGCAGCAGCAATAATAGTCACCTGAATTTGGCAAGTTTTTCATTCATATTAGTAAGCTTAGATATCTTTACTAATCATGATCGATTATGTTTATGAGAAATAGTCCTAAGTATAATGAATAGTTGATGGAGATAGCCATAGTTAGGACAGGCCAAGTAGAGTATAAGAAATTTGTTAAACAAACATGAGACTAAACATTTTTGGGAGATATTCAATTGGAGTCTCCCGTGGCTTCAGGTTTTATAGATATTCTTCCATAATGCAATATATATCCATAATTCTTAGCTAGAATATCCAGATAGAAGATCGAGTTAGAGTATCTGAATGTCGTATACTTTCTGTTAAGCCTAAGCTAATTTAAGATTCAAATTCAGCAAGTAAATAATAATTGCGTGAGTTTAGGTGGATTCGTGATATCCTAAACATGTTGACCTATGTCATTCATCAGCATTTCATGCTGCTATTATTAATAAATATTAGTGTAAATAATAAGTAGTCTGGTTTTTATTGTTAATTGTTCACAAATTCCATTTTAAATGGGAAAATAAGTCGAGCTGAGTTCGTCTATGAAGAAAACCTTTTTTTGATCACACCAAAAGCTAGAGGGTTACACCTAGTCATGCACTCCCCACTTGAGCATTCTCACAAGTAATTATTTTTAATAATCTATTATTATTAATGTCATTTGAATTATTATTATTTTAATAACTATTATGCTCATTATATTATTATTTAAGCTACAATAAATAATGCAAATATTAGTAAATTATTTTAATTATTTGCATCGTTATATAATAATTTTATAATATTTATTAATTCATTAGCTCTCCCAATAATTTGTACTATTTATATAATTAATGTATTTGTATTTTTATTCTAATTATTGCCTAATTATGAAACTCCTTTTCGTTTCTTTCTGGCATTACTCCAATAATATCTTTAACAAATTCAAACAAAGCTCCAACAATAATTAGCAAAAATAATTTTCTCACAATTTTTTCACTCAAATTGTGTTCGTATAGCTCTCGAATATCGTAAAGATAACATCTGCGCCGTAACCAAAAGTGAATATTGTAAATAAATTACACATACGCCACGTTCGCCTGACTTCAAGGTGAAGCACTGTCCAATGCAAAGTAATCTATGTATGTTTGGCGTTTCCAACCGATGGAATGATTAATTTGTTGTGCATGTTATCAATATCGTAAATGGTTTTAATATCGTAAATGATTTCTATAAGCGATAAGATCAAACGGAAGAGTTTACTCTAGCTGCAAATGAACTCTAGAGCTAGTTAAGTGGTATGGAGGTGATTCACTTAATTGTTAGATAAATTGTTCAACAAATTATCATGCAATAACGCCTATTAAATATATCGTAAATCTAATGATGATGCAATAAGCCCACTAACAATTTCTAAAGAGAGAACACTCGAACAGAGGTTTGCCATAGAGAGGCAGCCATAAATTATGGCCTGCCATACTTCACACTTAAAACTCTACATAACCTCAATAGCTAGTTTTAAGCTGTAATCCAAGTACAGTTGCTACAGCGCTGCAAAGTGCACGCAGCTGATTTATGAACCCTTAATAATGCTCTTAAGTGCCAACAACTTAAGGCATGCTCTTTATTTTTATCTCTCAATATATATATATATATATATAGTATGAGAGTTATATAGTGTTATACTTAAATATCCATAAGCTCTCCATAACCTCAAATTGTTCAATTAAAGCACTTATTACGCTCGACTCTCGACTCGACTGCATTGCACTCCATTTATATGCAAACACACACACACTCGCACACACATGTGTGCGTGTGTATAGGCTGGCATATTTATAAGGCAATTATTACCGTTATGTTTGCAGCAGCAGCTGGATACGAGCATCGACACTTTCGTCGCCTGTCGCAGCGCGCAGCCGGGCTTCGGCGCGAACCTTAAAAGCAAATCGGCGCAGGAGGCGAAATTTAAAATTCTGCTCGCAATTTCGCTCTGTTGCATATTCATGGTGAGCAATACACACACAACACACACACACACATCTTATATAAACTTGATTTAATTACGATAAACTTCAGCCACAAGCACTTGACTGCGTATACATCTTTATCTGTGTCTATATATATCTCTCATTAGATTATTGAATTCCTTGGCGGCTATATAGCAGGAAGTCTGGCCATTATGGCCGATGCAGCACATTTGGCATCTGATTGCATTAGTTTCGTCATCGGCCTGGTCGCCATCTGGTTAGGCGGGCGACCGCCAGATGCACGCATGTCCTTCGGTTACAAACGTTTTGGTAAGTATACCAATTATGGTCCCGACACTATGCTAATGAGTGTACCGAGCCACAGTTGACAGACACAACCACTTACAATACCACACACACACATACACAGGCACACACTGGCACACTCTTCTGCTCGCTTGGGCTATGTAATTGCATTTATGCCAAACTCACGTTCACATGTCTCTCTATTATTTGCCATGCAACCCACACACACGCACACACCTGTACCTACCTGTTCATACGCTGTGTCCATTAGTCGCTTATCCAGTTTTTCTCTCTCTCTCTCTTTGCATTGCAATGCCCTCGCAGAGGTTGTCGGCGCCTTGATCTCCATTCTGGGCATTTGGCTGCTGACAGCAATGCTCGTCATTGTTGCCATCGATCGCATCTATTCGCAGCAATTCGAGCTGGATGTTAATGTCATGATGTGGATATCGGCCATTGGCATTGTCATCAATATTATGTGAGTAAAAGATGCTGATTATCTAAAGACTTGCATAAAGATATGGATATATAGATATATTGATATATAGAGATATAGATATATAGATATATAGATATATAGATATATAGATATATAGATATATAGATATATAGATATATAGATATATAGATATATAGATGTATAGATATATAGATATATAGATATATAGATATATAGATATATAGATATATATATATCTTTATATTGATAAATATAAAGAATGATTTGCAAAAATATTTAAAAAAAAGCTAAATTAAGGTGTCTTTAATTTTAATATAAGAATATTTTTTAAATTATATTTTTTTATTATATTATTATTATTATATTATATAACAATACAGCTTTGTTCACAAAAATAGTAGTGCTCCATCGCACCAAATGTTGCACAATATTATAAAACTTAAATGAATATAAGAAATAAAACCTTTAAAATATTAATTAAAAATAAAAATATTGAAAAAAAAAATAAGAAATATATATAAATAAATTTTACACATTTATAATTATATGTGAAATAAAACACTTCTCACATATATCCACATACAGCTATAAGAGGCTATAGAAAACATACTTTCAACATTATAGTTGAGTTGAGAAAAAAGCAATTTAGCAGTTAATCCGGCTAGCTTTACATATTTTCTTTATTCCCAACGCTTTTCCTTAATAAAAAGTATTTTTGAATAATTTTAGTGATTTTGGTAATTTTAGCAAATTTTGTGATTTCTGTAATATTGCAATTTGTCACGCTTGAAACAGTTTCCCATGCACTTTTAATTAAATATAAATATGAAATGTTTTTTTTTCTCTTGCCCGCAGCATGATGTTCGTATTGCATGGCTCCTGGTTTATGGGGCCCAATGGCCATGGCCACAGCCACAGTCACGGTCATAGCCACAGTCACAGTCACAGTCATAGTCACAGTCACAATCACAGCCACAATCACAGTCACAGTCACAGTGATGGGCATAATCACGCCCACGAAACAATTGGAAGCCCCAGGGAGGACGTTGTCATAACAAATGGCTTAAAGTCAAGCCAGCAAAACCGGTAGGTGTATCGGCCGAAAGGGTTGATTTTTAATGTTATATATACCTGATACCATAATATGCACATATATATATATATATATATATATTGCATATTGATTCAAATGGTCAGCTGCATTTTTGTGGCCTGCGGTTGAAACTCTTATGAATTTGTTGTCAAACAGCGGCAGAAATTAGTAAAATATATAAGTATGGGGCGTGCCCGACTAAGAGATATGGTAGAATAGCGTTTTACTAGCGAAGAGTAAAGTAACGTACGGAAAAAAAGGTTATGGCGCAGGGCATAAAAAAGGCTAGGGGATGTTAGAATTTATCAGGACAGTGTAGATCAGGCAAATCAATCAGGGAGGGTAGAGTAGAGCTTAGATGTTTATAATACCTAAGTGTTGAGTAGAGTAGGTGTATATGAGAGTAAGTAGAATAGAATGGAGTAGAATATAGCAGGGATGTAGTAGAGTAGATAGAGATATAGTAGGGATATAGTAGGGATATAGTAGAGATATAGTAGAGATATAGTAGAGATATAGTAGAGATATAGTAGAGATATAGTAGAGATATAGTAGAGATATAGTAGAGATATAGTAGAGATATAGTAGAGATATAGTAGAGATATAGTAGAGATATAGTAGAGATATAATAGAGATATAATAGAGATATAGTAGAGATATAGTAGAGATATAGTAGAGATATAGTAGAGATATAGTAGAGATATAGTAGAATAGGAGTAGAGTAGAATAGGAATAGAGTAGAGTAGAGTAGAGTAGAGTAGAGTAGAGTAGAGTAGAGTAGAGTAGAATTGAATTGAATTGAATTGAATTGAATTAGAGAGAGTGAGAATATAAATCAGGATAATGAAGACTGAAATGATGTTAAAAAGATGCAACTAGATTAGGATATATAAAATTCTATAAATGCAGGCCTGACCACAGCAGAATCTAAGTTGATAAAAACCTACGTTACGAGGTACCCTATCTATATGCTAATTTTTATATTCTCGCTTGACTCTCACTCTTTCTGTTTTATAAAGTATTTCCATTCGCAACTCTCAATATTTAATGGAATCTGCATAAGTTTATTTTCCCACAATTACCTGTTGGACTTATATCTAAGAAATATACAGGGTATAGCATAACCACAACAATTGACTCAACAATAACAACAGCAACGATAAGTAGCAGCTGCCGTTGCTGCTGCTGCTGCTGCTGCTGTCTGCAGGCAATTGTTTGTTTGATTACGTGTAATTGGAATTTAATTTAGTTGCATGGCCCACAGACAAGAGAGACGAGAGAGAGGCGTGGGAGTGGGAGCAAAGCTGTATTAGTTATGCTTGATTTGCAGTTATTAATTTGTGCAGCGAGATGCCTGGAGTTAATATTTGGTCTACGCATGTATATTATGTGTGTGGGTTTATAATAGAATCTCCCTCCTTAATCTGAATAGGTCCACTGAACGCAATCTAAATCTGCGAGCTGCGATGATTCATGTGATTGGGGATCTGGTGCAGAGCATCGGCGTCTTTCTGGCGGCCATACTAATCAAATTCTATGTGAGTCGAGTTCAGATGAGAGGTCTAGACATCAATTAAAAAAGAAACTAATTCAATTTTATGCTTGCCATGCAGCCGGGCGCCAAGTTTGTGGATCCATTGTGTACGCTGCTCTTCTCCATAATTGTGATTATGACCACGGTGCAGCTGTTTCGGGAATCTGTTAGCGTGCTCTTGGATGCGGTGCCGCGGAATGTGTGTCTGTCCACGCTACAGCACGAGCTGTCCGGCATCGAGGGTGTCAAGTGAGCAGCAGGCGGTCAATGAACTCGCTTAAATTATAAATTATATTAATTTATGCTTATTTCATCAACAGATCGGTGCATCATGTGAATGTCTGGCAGCATACGAGCGAGCACAATGTGCTGATGGCTCATCTGGTTGTGGGTAAGGCAGTGCATGCATAACACTATCATATTTATATATACATCATATCTTATCGTATCAGATGGGCTATGCGATGCGAATGTTGTGCTGGAGCTGGCAACGCAATTGGCCTGCGGCAGCAAATACCATATCAAACATGCGACCATCCAAATCGAGCGTTTGACTGAGTAATTCATGAAATTAGCCATAGCTTAATTAGGTTTTATTATAGCCCCCAGGCGTAAGCGACAACAACAGCAATTTATAGTCGTCTGGCGCGGCATTCATTCATGTGATCCTATTTGTATTGAACGAAAGATAGCGCAGAATTCTAACTAAATCTTTTTATATCTTTCAAATTATTGTATTTTATTTTGTATAATTCTGATTGTCTAAAAAAAACAAAAATTAAATTAAGTATACGTAATAAATATTAAAATTTGCTTTTCATATATTAAGTAATAAAACAAGTCTTTATAAATTGTTATGTCATTATTGCTATTTATTATTATTATTTTTTTTTTGATACATTGCCAACGCCTACGCAATCTTAATTACTTATCAAGCGCCTCGCGCTCCACGCTGGCTCATGAAAATAATTTGAATTTCAATTAGCTGCAGACAATGTAAACATTTTTAGTTGTAAAAATTTTGTGTGCAGAATATATTGTAACACGAGTCAGCCATATTTATATGTAGGATCTATCTCACTCTCTCTGTGCGCTGAAATTAATTAGAATTTGCTGCATCAGCGAGCGAAATTTTGTCGGCTGCTTGGCGAAAAGTGAAGAGAAAAACTCGCGCTGTAATAATTGATGTCTTTATCTTTGCTTCTTGCTTTAATTAGAAAGCCAGCACCACTCGGCACCAGTCTCTGCAGCACCTGCTGCAGTGGTTGGCCGAAAAAACATTCACTTACAAATTAATAAGCGAAATGGAATTTACATCAAAGCTGATTTGTTATCAGCTCGCGGTGCGTATACTTAATATTTAAGCTAGGCTAGCAAATTGTTGAGCGAGTCCACTGGCAAAAGTGAGTGGATTGTGGGCAATTTGTGATGAGTATTAAACTTTAATTAATTGTTAAATGTGTTTGGGAAACGAAGTAGCCAAAAACTATTTAAAATACTGAGAGAAAAATATATGAAATATATGAGAAATATATGAATTTATGAGAGGAATATGATGGAAAATTAGGAAAATATATGAAGGGATTGTCTAGTATTTGAAGAAAAGTTGATTTTTCATCCAACCAAAAAGCTCTATTTCCATTTCCCGCTCTTTAATGCTGAATAAAATCAAACTGATGTTTGCAAAATTTCTAAAATTTACTTATTTAAATGATAAAATAATTATAAAATTTGATATGCGTAAATTGCTCAATGAATATTTATTATAATACGAATTCACTTTTGCATTCAGCCAGCATTTGAGTGGAGCATTTATGCATGGGCTGCGAAGCTAAATGCTGATTAAACATAATTATTTTTGTGCTGCTTAATTGTTGTTTTCATAATTCATATGCCGAAGTGAAGCATGCGCTCATAAAGTAAGTATATTCATGGATATATATATATATATATATATATATATATGGCATAATTCATATATTGTACAAACACGCAAATCCGATTAGAATATCGCATCTCAACACATTCGGACACTGGCAAACGCGGCAACCGGAATTCAATGAACCGGAATTGAGCAAATCAAGCATGGCTCACACACACACACACACACACACTTATGGCGTCACATAATGTTAACACATGAATGAAGTCAACTCGCAGCATCTTAATCAGCCAACAAACACACACACACTCTCACAGCCTAGTTTGAATGATGCCTGTGCATTTGTCAGCCGTTAAGCCGCTTCAAATTGAACAAAACGATTCGATCCTTGAGCCCTTTTTTTGCTGCTCCTTTTTGGCGCACAGTTCAATACGCTCGGACACGATTAAGTTATTTATAATTTATGAAGCACGAACAAAAAAGAGAGAAAAGAAAAACAACTATGAGAGCTGCACACGTGCAACGCTGACTGCCCAATACGCGTTCAACTTGATTTGAATATAGATTCGGGGCGAAGCATGCTGCCTCTGGTGCTATGAGTAAGGAAGTGAAGAGTAGAGTAACTTAAGAGTGAGTCAAAAGCTCATGATATGCCACGCCCACCAGCTAGATGTATACATAATTTGTGGTTGTTCTACTGAGTAGCTCAATAGTGAAAGCAGATTATACATGTCATCATTTGTGATCGATCTATAGCGCAGCTCATTAGCTACTTCCGCGCCTAAGTTTGTTTTTCGAACTCTAAAACTCTAGATTATATAGTTCAAATGAATCTAGCTCTATAACTGCGTAAGTTCTAGGCTTCTTCACGTGATTTGCCACGCCCACAATTACCTCATATATACAATATTTCAACCGGACTCAGCACCATCTCTTCCTCTATAGAGAATGAACACAAAATGCCTGCCAAACACCGTTTCGAACTTCATTTCTCCCACTTCCAATGGATTAGTCTCTCTGGGCCAATTTAGAGGTGGTCATCGTCGCGCCATAGTAAACCCAATCTACAATTAAATTTGATAGTTTTTATGTGACTTTAAGCATTGAGAACAAATAAACCAAGTTGCAAGTCTCTAGCTTCGATAGAGGCGATCTTTCAGTTGAGGCAAGACCACATAAGCCAAATGCCAAATCTCTAGCTGCTCTGCATAAACAGACAGTCTGCTGGATATTGCATACCAAAACCAATATACTCGCTTTTCACTTCCTGAACGGGTATAAAAATAAATATACTTATTGTATATATGCTATATATGAAAAGGAGGTAAGCAGCAGCAAGAGGTCAAAACGAAATGAAAATTTCCATTTCAGTGCCAAGGAAATTGCGTTAAAATGATGAAGCAGGCAAAGCCGCAGCAGCAGCTGAACGCACACATACACATACACACTCGCACACCCTTATGCCTTGTTAAGGCAATTCGAACTCTGGCATAAACTTTACATAAATCAAGCCAATCGGCCCAATTGTGCGCTGCACTCATTAATATACGTGAGCAGTAAAAAACGTATCGAATGCAGAGAGGCTTAACTAAATTTAATTGCTGACCCAATTGGCTGCTGCAGCAGCGAAAAAGAGAGCGGGAGCAAACTAATTAATAACATAAAATAAAGGCAACAACAACAAAAGCGAATTATCAATGGAAAGTCGGGCGCACTCTTCAAGTATGCCCAAGTGCTTGCCCATTTTATTTAATTTTTTTTTTCGCAAGTGGGCGTGGCCGGGGTCTGGCTGGCTCACTTGAAATGCGCAAATGTAAAATTAATGGCATACTTGACTTGATGCTTTTCTAATTAGAAATGCATATATAACAAAAATCGTAGCATACATTTCAGCTGCAGCTCAGCTCAGCTCAGCTCTAAAAAGCGCTTAAAACACAGAGCACTCGACTACTCCTGCTAGCACTTAACACTTTGCCAGCGCGCAGACACACACACATAGACTCCCTCACACACACACACACACAGCTACAGCGAAGGAGAATCAGCTAAAGTAATTGAAGTGGCTTTGCACGTGCGCTGAGGAGTTCAGCTAAAGCGGAATCCATCGTGGACACAGAAAACTTGACAGCAGAAATTATCTGATGGGGAGGGTTGGGTAGGTTGTTAGCAGCTAGAGATGTGCGCGTGACACGAATAACCGACGATAAGCATCAATTTATACACCAAATGCTAAAGAGTTATCTTAGAGCAGTTTATGCGCCTTTGAAATGTACTTTTCGAATCTCTGAGCAGCTAGAGATGTGAGCGTGACACGAATTACAGTCATTTCAACAAGCGAATAAGCTTCAAAATTGCGCCAGCGACTGAAGTCTTTCCATCTTTCAGTTTATCTTTCCTATTAAATAGGCAATTGGGATTTGGGTAGCTAGAGATGTGTGCGTGACACGAATTAGATAACGATGTTTACGAAAGTGAAATTATATTGAAATATTGAGAGGGAATTTGTACCTTATTTTTATATCTTCATGTTAAAAATATAAGAGAAATGTTAACAGTTAGTGCTAAGAGCGTGACACGACTAAGACACTATGCATGATATATAATTATAAGTCAACAAATCATATTTATTGAACTAGATGTTTTGGGAATCATAACATAAAATATAAAATAAAATAAAAAAAAAACAAATAAACACAAATAAATATTTAGTTTTATTTAACCTGCTGTTAAATATACATTGAGTATTTCAGCAGCTAGAGTTAATTGAGTAACACGATTATCGTTTTAGTTGTAAGCTTAAAACATACTAATTTATAAAGACATACATAAATACATAAATAAAACTAAAAACACACACTGTTTGATTAATAATTTTTTAATATTTATTTAATTTTATCCAACTGTTAAATATAATTATAAAATAAAAATCCATCTATGATACACCATACACTTAAAGACAATTTGCCCAGATCTTAATTTACTTTTATTAAAATGTTTATTACAAAAGTTATTTAACTAGTACTTAAATATTTAACATGTGGTTTAATAAATAAGTTAATTTATATCAAATGTGACCAAAACGTATCTCTATATCTAAGAATTTCTTACATAGATTATTTACATTTCTATTTCACACACATAAAAAACAATTAAAACATAAATAAAAATAATCTACAAATATTAATTTAAAAATGAAAAATACCTAAAAAAAATTAAACTCAAGTAAATTTATTAAATCATAAACTCAAAAATGTGTTTTTATAATAAATCAAAAATATAAAATTTAAAGAACGCAAAATTAATTCTAATTTTAACTTAGTTTAGTCCAGTTTCTTTTTTAGGTGTCAAACATAAGAGGGGTATCAGAACTCTTGAATCTTCTTGTATTACACATTAATTACTTATTTAACCTGAGTTTATTTTTTTTAACTTAGCAGCTTGGAAGTCAGTTCTGCAGCCTAAAGACTAATTATAACGACGCAAAACATCTGATCGATTCGGTGTATTCAATTGAGGAACACCATAGATATAGGACTCCTCCCTAGAGACTGAACGCTGCGAATACGAACGTTCTGAAAAAAAGAATTGCAAACAAAATTAGCGAACTCGAATCTCTGGCGCTAGACGTTGAGCAGCGACTGACCATCAAATGTATTATTCCGTGGTGGGCTGTTGTTTGAGAAGTTGAGCGAATCCAAATTATCCTTTTGTTTTTGTAGGAACACTGCGACGAGAATAAGAAAAGTGGCACGATTAATCAAGAGGCGAGATGTAACTGAGCAAAAAACGTGAATGAAGAAAAAATGTACTAAGATAAAAGATAGAAAAATTAAGAAAAAAAAGATGGCGAAGCTATAAGATAGAATATAGAGGATGCATCTAAAACATATAGAAGATTTATTACAATCTATATAAGCTATTCGAAATACACACAAAAAAGTGTGCTGATCGTCAAGAATATATATACTTTATGAGGTCTGACACACGTTCTTGATGATCCTGATAAACCATTTTGAAAGGGTTCAGGGTATAAAAGGTGTTCCATCATCTAAGTATTACTTATTTGGAATGCTAAATTGAAGGAAAGGAAACCTAGAGATAATATTGTACAATTATATAGAAGCTATATCATAGTTGCTCCTCCTAATATAATATCATATACTAAAACACAATTTAAATTCTCTGATGATATTTTTACTGGCATGTGAAATGGTACCTTTTAAACGCTCGCAAGACTTTGTTGAAGGTAATTAGTAAAGCGTTCTTAGGGCATGAAAAATGAGCATGAAGGCCAACAAAAAGCAGGCAGCATTTTTGGCAACACAAAACACACACACAACAAATAATTTAGCTATTAAAATTAGTGTAAAAATTACGTGCGGACGGCCGCGAAAGAAACGTGCAAATAAAGCAGAACATGGAGCGAGATGGACTTGGAGAGGGATGGGGAGAGAGAGAAGGCAGGGTAACTGTGTGCTGGACGTTGGGCAACTTGCTGAGCTCGCCAAGTGCTCATTAGAGGCAGGAGGCGTGGCCAGGGCCAGGGTGTGCTTCACAAATCTTAAGTAATTAGACTAATTTTGTAATTAAGGTAATTTGAGTGCTGCCAAGTTGTGGCCCAATGCTGATAAAATGCTAAAGAAGTTCGCTTATCACAGTAAATAAACAACAAAGCTTTAAAACTCAAAAATGTACCACAATTTACAAATTTGCTACAAGCAGGACTTAAAGTGCACGTTCAAGTTCTTGTTAAACTCAAATTGTAGTAATTGATATTGCAAATTCAAAATGAAAATTTCAAAAACTAAAAGTTTTTAAGTGCAAGCTAAAGTTAATGTTAGTAATTTTATAGGATATTGGCACTAGCTAATATGTGAAAAGTGGAAAGGTCATGTTAAGGTGCATGTTAGAGACACTAATGATATTTTGCTGTAGCTGCAGATGCATTTGAATGCAAAAGGCATTAGTTTAAAGCGACACTTTATATAAAATCTAATCAGGTGAATAAGCTGCCTGCTGTACAGTGCACGTTAAAGTTACTGCAAGTGCATGTTAAACTATAAGTTGGTGTCACTCTCATGATTTATAGCAGCTGTAAATGCATTTGAATAAAAGTCATTAGCTTCTAGCAACATTAAGTTTATAGTCTAAAAAGTAACTATTTAAAAGCTGCTAGCAAATCGAAAACTACATGTTAAGGTCCATGCTAGACGCACTAATGTGATTTATGGCAGCTGCCAATACACTTTATTGCAATTGACGACACTTTGCAGTCAGATTTGTGCCATATTGGCAGCCAGGACTGTGATTGTGATTGTGATTGCATTTGAAAGCCAATTGATTTGCAAACGCATGCAGGCTGTAATTTATGCCAGCCAATAGGCTTGATTAGTATGCTGGCTTTCACTGAAAATGGGGTCAAACGGTAGACTTTTACTACACAGCAGTCGTCGAGTGTATCGATAACGAACGCCAAGTATTTATAGCCACACACTCTCAAGTGAATACAATTTGCAATCACATCACGGCCAACCGACCCAGCCCAGAAGCAGCAAAAAACTAAAACCGATAGACGACCAGTGGGTAAGCAAAAAAGAAAATAAGTTAGAAATGAGAGCAGAAGCGAATGCGAAGTAAAAAACAGCCAGCTGAAAAATCAAAGTTTAAGTCATAAATAAGAAATTTTTGTATGTGGCTCTGCAGCGAAAACTGATGATGATGATGATAGTGGAGAGAAGACTGCGGCCTGTTATCGCTACCCACAAAAAGTTTTTGGTATTCATGCACGAAATGACTAAAAACTTAAAACTAATAGAGAGAAGTGTAGCAAAAGTTGGGCCACTGCCTTGGGGGCTGATGCTGCTGCTGCTGCTGCTGATGCTGCACTCAAAATTATTAATTAAACTTACCCTCAGAGTTGACTTGCGTGACGCCCTGCGTCTGGAAGAAGGATATGTATACTGCAAAGATAAAGAGCACAGCGAAAAGGATACTTAGAAATAAAAACTAAAACAAGTAAGAATGAGCTAGTCGACATTGGCCGACTAGATGATACTCTGTAAAGTGCGTGGATAGCATTTATAATAGACTATTTACTATTTGACAAAGGATTTCAATATTTGGCAATGGTAAAGGTATTAAATATATATATAAATATTCATAGAATATTTACTAAAGAAATATACATACAACATTTGGTGTCTCTGCCCCTAATAATTTTAAAGTTAAGCCCAAAAACCAAGTCAATAAATCGATTTTTATCGATGGACATAGGTCATGTCATATAATAAGCTTCAGCTGCATACGAAATAGAAGATTTTATGTGGTTTATATAACTAAGCAGCAAACGAACAGACGGAAAAATATACAAACATAATCCAAAAGCAAATTTGATAGAACATTTCAACAACTGATTGTTATCGATGGCCACAACTTATCGAAAATGGAATCACTCTTCTATGATCCACATTTATTTTCAATTTCAATTAATTTTTATATATGCATATGAGCAGAGTCGAATCAAATTACTTATGTAACCAGAATATTTGCAATTTAATGTTATCGATGACTTTAACACATGCTAAAATAAAGTTATCGGATATGGACATATTCTAGTTAGATCTCTAGCCTTTGTAATTAACGAACGGACAACTAAAAACAGCTAGATCGATCTAGAAATAGAGCATATATACTTAATAGGCTCAGCCACGCCTTCTATTGCCCGTTACATACGTTTTAACAAACATATACTGCCCCAAAATGCACTTTTCAATGAGTTTAGGGTATTAAAAAAAATAAATATGCTGCAGGCAATAAATATATGTATTATACTGTATACACAGATATATAAATATATATAGTATATAGCTGCTTATATGTAGCTAGCAATTAATCAAGTTGCTAGTTGCAAGTCGCAAGTCGCAAGTTGCTGTTGTTGATACTTTTTTTTGTTGCTTCGTGTGTCTACGCAGATTGTCAGGCAGGCGGCGGGTGTAGAAGTAGAGTGGGAAAAGTTGCTGGTTATCAGCTTTGCGGTTGGCAAGCGAACAAGGTAAACCCTGGTTAAGTTTTGTTAGCTACAGTTACCTTTACTTCACTTTTGTTTTCCTTTTTTCTCTCTCTCACTCTCTCTTTCTCTTTCGTTTTTGGCTCGTTTTTTATTGGGTGTAAAGTGTTTTCGTTGCGATAACACCCGTGCGTCCGTACGCTCGTAGGTCCGTCTCTAGCCGTGGCAAACCCGAATAGACAACATTGAAAAATGGCAAACACGGCGCGCTCTCCCTTCCGAAAAAGCAAAACTTTTGCGGACCGAACTTGGACACGCCTCCGCCGCCCACGCACAGCTGGAGTTCATTCGGTCTGCACAGCTGCGTGTAAAAATGCAAGCAGAAATGGCAAAGTTTAACGAAGCGTTGTCCCAAAACGCAGCTCCCATGAAGCGTCACTAAAAAGGACTGCGTCAAAGGATAACGCCGCCAAGGCTGCCTGGACTTAAGCTGCGTACTGCAGGTAACGAAAGAAGCAGCAAGCAGCAGCAACTACAACTAGTAACAACGTCGCCTTTGTGCGCACTCCTAGCTGCGTAATACTCGCTGAAGTCAAATATATATTCCTTGATTTACAAATCATTCATAGATGTAGCTATAGCAGCGGTCAACTGCAAAAGTTCTTGAGCCTAGCTCTAAAACTTTGCAAGATATCGTTTTTTTATCGATCTGTGACGCCCTCTATGGGCCATTTTATGTAGCTTTTAATGAATTTGTAATTTTTTTACTCTATCTTATAGGACGTACCAAATGTACGCAAAGAATTAAAGCTCGATTACGTTTTGCTGTTATCGATAGCATGAAGTTGAAATAAGTTATCGATATAATGAAGTTTAAATAAGTTATCGATATCATAAAGTTTAAATTAGTTATCGATATCATGAAGTTTAAATGTGCGCAAAAAATTAAAGCTCGTTTACGTTCTGCTGTTATCGATATCATTAAGTTTAAATAAGATCGATATCATGAAGCTTAAATAAGTTATCTATATCTTTCGACATATATCTATTTGTATTCAGAATTGTATCTACAATTTCAGTTAACTAGTAGTTATCGGTGTTGATTGTTGTATACGGACAGTCAGAAGCTCGCATCGACAGACGGACTACGGTCAGCTGACTTTTTTGGTGAATCAATATACTCTCTTTGCACTTAACGAGCGAGTAAAAAAGAAGCCAAGTACGCAGCGCGCTGTTCAGCTTGATTAAAGATTCATGGAATTTGCGATTAACTGCAAACAACGACACCCAGAGCCGAGTCGTGGGTCTGGCCTCTTATGATTTATGAGCATTTGGGAAAACCGTCCCCGCCCTCAGCTTGCATGATTTATGCAACAATAGAATATATTAATATGTGAATTTACTTAGGCATAACTGCTATTGGGAATTTACTTACTCCAGATCGACATGATGACAATGGTGCTCGTTGTTAGAATGAAGCCCAGATTATCGATGAGATGCTGTATTAATAATCCGCCGGGTCGGCCATCGCACTTCTCGCCCACGCTGGTGTCGCCCAAAATGGGCACCTGCAATGACAGTAAGCAAACATAAGGGTTAAAGAAATGCAGAAAGAGATGGAATAGCTAGAAAAAAAGAAAAGAAACTTTCACTGCAGCAAATGGGATTTGCAACTTTTTAGTTTATTCGAAATCCTTGTGGACGCACGCACACAAAATTTATAAATAAGAGAGAGAGAAAGACAGGGATAGTGACCAACGTAAAAGCCACATAAAAAGGAAGATAAAATACCATAAACAAAACGCATTGAAATCAATTATAAGCAATTGCAACAACTTTTTGCCAGCTGCAACAGTTGCAACCGCAACTGCAACTGCAACTGGCCTTTCAATTGACATTCATGGAATGCACTTCTCAATTGCAATATATTTTCCACAGCAAGTTAAGCCCTCAGGCCCAAGCACAACAATTTCAAACTAAATAACAAAAATTAAAACAGAAAAAATGGTCATGTTTTAGTATTTAGTGCTGAAGGGTTTTCACTTCCAGCTGACATCTCAGCCAAAAGTTGACCCTAAAATGCCAACTGTGAGCTGCAGTTGAAGATAGTAGTTAAGCTAAGAGATTGCCTAAGACTTGACCAAATGCAGACAGATATAATGAAGTAAATAAAAACTGGGTAGACGATGAAGATCGTTTCAAGTTTTGGTTAAGTTATAAAGCTCATATATTTTGCATATATTTAAAATTAAAAAATTGATCTTGCGAATCGAATGTTTAACTTGTATACCAATTTATACCACAGATAAATTTATAAGATAAGGGTATATTTCAAGTCTCTAGCTTCAATAGCAGCGAAAGGTTTTGCGGTCATACGAATGGTCGAATGGACATTGCATAAAAACCAATATGCCCCTTCACTTCATGAATAAGTAAAATGCTGCCTACGACAAAAATCCCAAATAAAATTCCAATGTAAAATCAATCTAGAGCATAAGACATGAAGAAAATGTTTTCGAAGCGGAAAATCCAATTAGTTTTTATCAAGCTACAAAAGCTGGCAATAAGAGACGTTAAGTGAAGGGCATTGTAGCAATTCTTAAGATAAAAATTTAATAAACATTTTAAAACCCACAGAATAGAGGAATCAAGCTGTAGTATAGAAAAGGATAATGACAAAGATTCAAATTAGGCAAGCTTTGAATATATGAGATGAGCTGTGGACTTTAGATACTTTAAAAAGTCTATGTACTTTATATAGTCTAAAAAGTCTAAAATTGCTAAGAAATTTATTCATAAAATAAGAGTAATATTATGAAACCTCTAAGAATTCTCAAAAATGTACTTGAAATGCAAATTTCAACTATTGAGAACTTTAAATGCAACATCAATGAAGCTAATTAAACTAGTGGAACTGAAGCAGTTAAGGACAAATTTTTAATATATTTGTCATAAAATTTGAAAAGTCTAAATATTAAAACTAATGTTATTAATAAGAGCAAATTTGAATAGATACAAATTGGGCTGAAAGAGAACCCCTGAAGAAAATGGTGGCGCAAGTAAAGCCAAAGTCAAAGTATGAACTAGAAATCTAAAAATAGTTTAGATCGTTATCAATAGGTTCAACTCACACCTTAACTAACAAAAACTAAATAAATTAAATTATTAAAAACTATATGCCCTAATCCTGTATTCTTTACTCTATAGATTTATATATTGTATATCATGCCATCAGAAATTTCTTGCAAGCTGTTTTACCTCCACTAAGACTCAATTAACTGCTTCCAAACTGATCCCAATTGAAAAATAGCTGGAATTAAGAGCACATTTCATAAGATTCGCGCAATTGCGTTGAGCAATTCAATGTTTTAAACGTTTACAGCTGGCCAAAAAGTTGAAAGCTGAAAGCTGACCAGAGTCTCTTGATGGCGGCTTTACCGAGGGGGCTAATAAATGAGCGTGCAACGCCTGCGAGACGGCGAACAAGCGATCGACTTATGGTAGTGAATTTATAGACATGATGTGTGTGTCCATGGCCCATGCATTGGATGAACACATAACCACAGATGACACAGACACAATGGCCGCAAGATGGGTATAGCAGTGTGGGGTAGGGATAGTTCGGGCATACTTAACGACATTTTCCTTTGTTTATGTGCAGCTCTGTATGCGAGATAGCGTTTATAGATGAACCCATTGGGCAATGGGGAATAGGGGTAGAGCCCCCTTCGCTCTGTGTCAAGCTCTGCCTACCCTGAAAATTTATGCAATTTGTGAAGGGTAACATGGACATGGAATGGAGCTGACTGAGCTGAGATATACGCCATTTCGCTGTTGACCATTCGCCCGGCTGTACATAAACGAAACTTATTTATGCAATTCCGGTTTATTTTTTGTTGTTGTCGTTGTTACTGTTGTTGGCTACTTGCTGGCCTTTTGGCTGCCTTAAATGCAGCAACAACTGCTGTTGGCCACAACATTTGGCCACGTGCACAGGAAGTTCAATTGCTGTGCGGAGAGGCGCCACAGGAAATGGTGGAAAAACTTTAGCAACAAATTGATACGCGCACCTCCACGCTTTGGAAGGCGCCACCTCGTCGTAGTTTTTCGGGCTTGTTGTGGGGCATTTGCTATCAGTCTGTTTGCACTATCTAATGGCATCAGGTAACCAATGAAAAATGCCAATGCCAGCGTATTTACATTTGCGCTTACTGCTGCTGCTCCTGCTGTTGCTGCTGCTGCTGCTGCAGCTCCTCCTTCTACAACTGCAGCAAAAATAAACAAAATTTTGTGGCGAAATTGAAAACGTAGCGGAATATGTACACAAAATGTTGCATTTGAAATGTTTTTAGTGAAATATTACAAAATAACGTGACGCAACTGAATAACAACAATAAGCAAACGGGCAACGCTAAGAAACCGAAGTGGAAATACTCTAAAAAACGTGGCGCGGGGCAGTGATTTGATATGAAAGTCTTATATGATTCCATTTGATATTTTTAGTGGATTTGTACATATTTATTCTGCTTGACAAGACTCTTCATAGCAGCAGCGCGAAGCGAGCTTTAGCAAAACAAATATAGAGCAACAGAACAAGTTTAGAAGTAGAATACCCTTTACTAGGGTATACAAAGCGAAGCAAATCAATTTTCAAACACAAATTGAAGCGGACTCTGTGGAGTATGGCATAGCCCGTGTGAAATACCCTGTCTGGTCTGGCAAGTGTGCCAAATAGTTTATGGCATTGTCAGAGTGATATGCCCTTGATCGCATATACTGTAATCTCACACATGCCCTGTAAGATATACCCTCTACGATAGCATAACATATGTGGTATACGTCAGAGTGGTCAGATGATATGCCCTTTATGTCATACCCTATATAGTATATACTGTATAGTTCAGCATGTAAGGCATATCCTTTGTGGCATACTCTGTGTAATGTCATTTCGATCATATGCCCTGTTTAGTATAACGTTACACACAGAAGACTTATACTGAATATAGATATTTATCGATTTAAGCACACTTTAATAAGTTATCGATGCATGTATTCAAGTTTCTTAACCTAGTATATATGTAAAACAACTTTAAGTAACAAACTCTACTAGCTTTGAGAGTGTATATCTGTCGTGATTGCCTAAACTGGTTTTTGGCAATTTTAAGGGATATCTGCACAGGGAATTTGTCTACACGTTAAGTGCTAACGCTTCACATGTCCAATTATAACACACAAAATGTTTACAGCCAAAAAGAAAAAGGACTCGGGTCCAATTATTCGTTTGGAAGCTATCAAATTCAGGCAATAAATTAAATTCGAGTTCGAATTTTTTTTTTGTTTTTTTTTTAACAATTTATCAAGTTTTTGGCTAGTTGACTGACAGTTTTTGTGAATGGGCAAACCTTTTGTAACGAAAAACTCACCTCAACGCTCTGATTTGTTTCCGGCGAATGAATCAGCACATAGAAATGTGCATCCAGTGGAAAATCTTGAAAGAAACGCACACGATATTTGCTAATGCCGTGCGCCTGCTCAATCAATTCGATGGTAAAGTATTTCGAGTCCGAGGGCTTGACCTGAAACAGAAAGAAGAAGAAAAGAAAATAACAAATTTAATTAAATTTAAGCTGAAAATCTTATGCGGATATGTAGCAAGCTAAGAACATAAATGATTTACGATATTTATTTGCAAAGGCTCATTAGCAGCAGGGCAACAACTGCTGTTTATAGCAAATAGTCAAAGGCAATGGGCGCTGCAGCGAATGGGCAAGATAAGCTTAAAATAAGGGGGCGTGGCAATTCAAGCAAGCAACAAACGACAAACAGCAAAGCATCTGGGCAACATTTGCAATTTCCTCAAAAACACAAAACGAATGCAATTTTTGATTGTGGCTGATGCATGATTGTGCGTGTGTGTGTATGAGTATATGTGAGTGTGCGTGTGTGTGTGTGTATAACGATGCGTATGCCTCAGTGTGTGACAATTTCTCCACGTGCTGCAATTTCATTTAATTAAAATGTATAAACCAAAAGCATTTCTGTGACAATAGCAGCGCATACACACACACACACACACACACACACAATCGCACACACACACTCGCTCAGATATTTGCTAGCTGCTGTGCGTATTTTCAAGTGTTTGTCAAATATGTTGTTGATTCTTATGCCTCTGTTGTAGAACATTTTTGATTTGAAATTGCAATTCTCTCAAATTGTCACCTAAAAAGCTTTTATTTTTTGCTTTTTTGCTTTTGATCAAATGAAACCACCTGCAGCTGAACAATATAACTATAAAATATGGCATAAATGCATATACGGAGAGTCTCAAATAACGTTGACAATATAAATACTAGCTAATGGATTAGCTAGCTCGCTTCGGCTTGCAATCGGATTTAATTGCATCAATTTTCTTCAGTTTTCAGGTTTACAGATAAGAGTCAAAGCACAGCTTAATTAATCTTATATGAAGCAGGTGTTTCTATGTTTTATCCTACTATATACATGTTTAAGTCTTAACAACTTTAACATTCCAACTATATAAGTAACTCTTCAACTCCTTAACTCTTTAAATCTTTAACTCTGACTCTCCATCTCTCTATCTTTATATGTGTCTCTGTCTTTCTATGCCTCCCTATCCCTATCACAATATTTGTCTTTATCTTTATCCCTATCCATACCCCTATCCCTATCCCTATCCTTATCCTTATCCCTATCCTTATCCCTATCCTTATCCCTATCCTTATCCCTATCCATTTCCCTATCCATACCCCTATCCCTATCTCTATCCCTATCCCTATCCCTATCCCTATCCCTATCCCTATCCCTATCCCATCCCTATCCCTATCCTATCCTATCCCTATCCTTATCCTTATCCTTATCCTTATCCCTATCCTTATCCCTATCCCTATCCCTATCCCTATCCCTATCCCTATCCCTATCCCTATCCCTATCCCTATCCCTATCCCTATCTCTATCCCTATCCCTATCTCTATCTCTATCTCTATCTCTATCTCTATCTCTATCTCTATCTCTATCTCTATCTCTATCTCTATCTCTATCTCTATCTCTATCTCTATCTCTATCTCTATCTCTATCTCTATCTCTATCTCTATCTCTATCTCTATCTCTATCTCTATCTCTATCTCTATCTCTATCTCTATCTCTATCTCTATCTCTATCTCTATCTCTATCTCTATCTCTATCTCTATCTCTATCTCTATCTCTATCTCTATCTCTATCTCTATCTCTATCTCTATCTCTATCTCTATCTCTATCTCTATCTCTATCTCTATCTCTATCTCTATCTCTATCTCTATCTCTATCTCTATCTCTATCTCTATCTCTATCTCTATCTCTATCTCTATCTCTATCTCTATCTCTATCTCTATCTCTATCTCTATCTCTATCTCTATCTCTATCTCTATCTCTATCTCTATCTCTATCTCTATCCTTATCCTTATCCTTATCCTTATCCTTATCCTTATCCTTATCCCTATCCCTATCCCTATCCCTATCCCTATCCCTATCAATATCCCTATCCCTATCCCTATCCCTATCCCTATCAATATCCCTATCCCTATCCCTATCCCTATCCCTATCCCTATCCCTATCCCTATCTCTATCCCTATCCCTATCCCTATCCCTATCCCTATCCCTATCCCTATCCCTATCCCTATCCCTATCCCTATCCCTATCCCTATCCCTATCCCTATCCCTATCCCTATCTCTATCCCTATCCCTATCCCTATCCCTATCCCTATCCCTATCCCTATCCCTATCCCTATCCCTATCCCTATCCCTATCCCTATCCCTTTCCCTATCTCAATCTATATCAGAAAACACGTTACATATTTGTTCACAAAACTTCAATATCTCCATTTAAGGCGTATAAACACTGTAAGCATTGCAAATAACTTGCACAAGTAAATTGGCGCAAAATGAAACCAATTGACGCAATTTGCAAAATGTGTGAAATCAACAACAACAAATTAATAATCATATAAGAAAACAATTTAAGCAATCAAAAATGTGACAAGAGTCAGGAGTATACGGCGACAAGATGCGCAGCAGAAAATGTGCAAATAATTTATGTGAAGTGGAAAAAAATGTTACTGCAACTTTAAAAGGTATATTTAGTTAGCCATCTCTTAACATAAGATAGTCGCGCATGCCCCATTTGAGCATTTTTATAGGGCATTTTGTTTTTCATTTTTCATTTCATATTTGCAAAATTAATGCGTTTAAATGAAAAACAAAGTTGTTATTGCAACGGATGCTGCACGGCTGGCACATCCGTGCGAATACTTATGCGCACATAAAAATGTATACATATATATATTTAATACATAATATACGTTTGTCTGTTATCAAATAGCTGATCAATAAGTGTGCTCGACTGGAACTTAGCCTGTAAGCAGTTTTTAAGCACAGTCGAGCATTCAATGAGCTTACTGCAAAAGCTTATTCAGGTGAAGACGGCAGATACTTAAGAGTTGGCGCAGCTGAAAGATACTGCTCAAACGGACTGTACACTGTCTAGCTGTCGGTTTAACTAATAAAAGATTGAGGTACAGCGAGTCGAACTGTAACGATATGAAACCACTTAATGCTTTCTATGAAACAGTTGCCTAAAAAAGTAAGTGCACACTATAAAAATGTTATAAAATTTAAATTATGAAAATAAAAAGTAAAGTTGATTCTTATAGAATAGCAGTTTAACACATGGCCTTAATGATATATGCAAACAGGCAATAATTCAAACCAAAAATAAAGAAATAAGCATGCTATACACAGACATAGCCGACTGCATTGTTGGTAACAAAAAGTTATATTAATTTAAAATGTCTGTGTAATTGGCTAACTAAGCTACATAGAAGTCTGGGCAGTATATGAATAAGAAACGAACATACCGAATGTTACGTCGAAATTCTGTACAATTAAATACATATATAGCAGATAAAAAATATACATAAATATTTAAGCTGACAGCTCTTTAAGGCTCATAGCTACAATAAATATAGTTCTTGGTAAACATATAAGTAGCATTCACAGCACTGCTTAAGCAGCAACTAACCTTTTGCTGAAAATATATTTCTACAGGGTATTTCAAAATACATATATCAATAATAATATTAAAATGTAATAATAAATAGTTTAAAAAATATATATAAAAATATCAACATTGTTAATAAACGGAAGTGCAAGCATATCAGCAGCAGCAGCAGCAGCACTTACTGCAGTAGCAACAACAGTTCTTATTAGCCCATTGATAATACATGAAGAATATTTAATAATTAATTGAAAATTATGCAGACCAATGCGCTTTTAAAAGGTCGCACATGTAAATTGTATACAGATGTAAGCTATATGCGCATTAATATGCAAATACATATATATATATATATATATATATATATAAATATGTGTCAGGATATCTGTCCTGCTTGTAATGTGAATTTTAATAAAAATTTGCCGAGTGCACTGGAATTGACAGCCGCATAATTTGGCTTCATGTGCATATATATTTTTTTTTGTGGTCTGCAGCAACTTTAAATGATTAATTGTTGATAATCAACAATATAAGAAATTAATGCTTTAATATGCATAAATAATGCACAGCGACTTTAGTTAATATACCCACGTTGCACACTGAGTGCGAGTGAGACAAAAATCAATTGCAGACGTTGGAAAGACATAAAATAGGCTGTAAACTATTTTAATGGAAAAAATTTGAATAGTCAGAAAGTTTGTATATATTGATAAGGCAATGTTATTTAAATATATCAAAAGTTGAATTTATTTAATAATAATATGTCACATAAATGCAACGAGATCGGCAGACAGACAAACACAACTGGCTAGACCAACTTCTATTGCACCATTTAATAAGATACTACTACAATGCAATAAATTGCATATCATAACATATATACATGGTTAAGTTAAAACAGTTATCTGCTATAAGCCGTTACACATAACCCCATAAAGCTATAATGCTCTGCGCTGTAGTGCATAATGTGACCATTGTACAAGAATAGCATTTAAGAGCTTGCCTGGAGTCTACTTATAATGTTGTAGCAGCAATAAAACAACAACAACAACAACAACAACAACAACAACAACAATGACAATGACAATGACAATAACAATGACAATGACAATGGGCAGCTGTATCGCATGTCCACTTCACACACTCGACAGTTTGAAGTTCCATTGATGCGATTTGTGCGATGGTCACAAGTGGCGACCCGTACATGCGCAATTGAATTGAGCAATCGAGTGTTGCATGTCCTGTGCATGTCCTTTTTGCTTAACAGTGAGACGGTGGTACATCAGTGGAGCACTGAACAACAGACAGAGTTGAGTGTTGGACATTAATGCATTTGCCAAGTTGGCCAAACTGCAAATTTGCAGCTAATGCAAATTATGCGGCATATTTCAAATGTTGGGCACTTAACCATAATTAGAGTGGCTCAAAATGTAGCTAATATTTCTGAGTGGCAAGCGAGCGAATAATATGGCTCAAGCTAACCGGAAAGGGAAGTCAAGCAAAATGCTGTCATTTTACATTTTTCAAATGACATCAGAGAAAAGAATGGGCTGAAAAGAGAAGGGAGTATGAAGCCCTCAGGGTGGACATTGACATTGCGAGGCAGCTGCTCTGGCGTAAGAAGCCGCAACTACTTGCGGCAACAGCAGCAGCGAACGGCATTGGCAACAATAGTCTCGACTGACTAACTGCCAAGGACAGTCCACAAGAACTTTCAAATTCATGGAATACTCTCAGTCACCCAGTCGCTCAGTCTCCCAGTGTCTAGTCTACTTCAGTTGGACGCACTCTCAGCAGTTGTCGTACATAATATTGTACTTTAAGAGCTGCCCGCCAGTGGCTATACCACGACTACTACACTACTGCCTGAAAACTGTAGCGTACATTGTAAAGCAATTTCCTGTATTTTATTACCACATAAAATGTGCGTCCTTATGCTGCTGCTGCTTCAACTACTACTGCTGCTGCTGCTGCTGCTGCTCTAGAGCTTATGATTGTTTCTCAAGGCGAGCGTATAAATAGGTACAAAAAAGCAGCGAGCAATTTCTTCGACTTTAAGCAAACGGAAATCCTGGTCAGCATATGTATGTGGGGTATAAGCATGCCTTTACATACACATATGTGTACATAAATATTTAATCAGTAAAACTGCAGCAGCCACAATTTCGTTGCACTTGTCTAGACAAATGCACATCATGAAATGGAAACTACGTGGAAGCTGCCTTTATTTATTCAGAAAATATTCAGTTTCTAACCAGTTGTTACTTTAGCGATTCAGAAAGTATCTGTTTTTAGAGCAAAATTATTAAATTATGACAGCTTAAAAATTGAGTCAATTAATTATAGTTTAAATTTTTGAATTCTCATTAAAATTTGTTTTGACTCTTTAAACTTTCTTTTTTAATTATAATTTTCACAGCACATAATGAGAAACTAGCTTCCAATTGTACGGAAACTTCTTACTGTCAAATTCAAAATATTATTTAACTGGCTTAAATTTGTTCTCTGTGGCAATGAGTAATTGTAAATTTCTTTTACATATCGTTATCCACGACTGGAAGACCTTGCTCAACTAGCTAAGATAAGTTCAATATGTTCATTTTATGCTTGATAAATACATATATCTCTGCATTTCAGACTTACAGCATTCACATATTCACATATTCAGATATTAATCAATTAGTTTTCATTTTAGGCAATGTCTCTCGAAGTAATCCAAGCAGAAGCCATAGTATCTCCTTCTGCGGCACATAGATGAATTTATGTATATTATATATATAAATTTATATATATTATATACTATATATACTACCATAAAATATATATATTATGCATAGTAATACTTACGAACATATAGCAATATACCCTACTATAAGCTACTACTCCTACATATTACTTTATTCTATCAGGCTAAGAGTTGGTCAAATTAAAGAGGAAATTTCAGAAGAATATTGCAGAATATTCTTCAATAATTCCCTCTTTAATTTGACCATCTCTCAGTCATTCTCTCAGCAATTAAACTCACCTGCAGCTTTTGCAATGCCTTGTCGAGTCCAGTTATGTGCAGCTCCTGGGATTTCAAATCGTGCACCTGCAGCGATTCGAGCGACACTTTAATGCCCGGCACCATTTTCAGCGACATGGTACCCAAATTGCCATTTGGCATCGCAGCCTGCAATTAAACCCAAAGCAAATATTTTAGCCAAATGGCATTCATTTGTTGTACAGAAGCACTCAGAGCACTGAACGCTGAGCTCGCTTACTTACCTCCAGCTCGAGCAGCACATTGTTTGCCTTCAGTGTCGAGAGCAAATCCGTAAAACTGGACGTTAGCAGCAGCTTGCACGCATACTGGCTGCTGTTCATATCGAATATGGCCTCGACATGATACAACTTCACTAACTTTTGACCGAGCTCATTCTTGGCCACCAGACGGCAGGTGAACGCTTCCACTGCGACTTTATGCAATTGATTTATGCACTTGGATATATTGTGGGCAATCTGCAATTATCGTATGCATACAGAGTGAGATGAATGTGAGCACTCATTTAGATATCTATAACTAACCAGATTGCTGTACTTCTCCGTTTGGATGTGATTGCGCAACACCAGCTGTGCCGTGTACTCTGACCCACTGAATATGTCAAACGATTTGGCAAACACAATCTGCAAAAGTAAAGGACAAATATAGAAGGCGTCACTCGACTCGTGAGTTATGATGGGATACGTACCGTGTCCGATTCGCGCAATTCCAGATCGTATTTGAGGTAACCACCGCGATGCGATTTATCACCACATGTCACTATGACCTTCTCGCCCAGCTTCTGATGGTGGTTCAGCACACGTGCAATGCCTGTTAAGGTAAAGAAGACTCTAGAGTTACAAAACTGAACGATAACGATTTAAATCAAAGAGTAATTACACAATTTAATTAAAAACTTTTTAGATTGAGTTTGCTCAAGAGGGCTGTTTGACTTAATGTTAGCTTTCTGAGGAATAAAGCTGAGAGTAGGATTTGAAAGGAAATTTCAGTATGAAAAAACTATATGAGACTTGATTCCTAGTCAAATCAAAGTCTATTAGCAATCTGTCATTTGCACATGTTAACATTTATAATTTATTTAAACTATTCTTACAAACCCTGGCTGGTGAAAACCTCTATTCTCCCACAAGAATTTTAACATATGTTTAATAAATCTATAGATATCCTTAACATATATAAAATATGACTCGAAATATTCAACAGAAAACCCTTTTTAAATTTTTATAGCATGGCAGATTCTTGATAATAAGTTTTTCAAACAGCCCTCTCGCACCTTTTGCTATGAAACGCTCAAAATTGTTGGCCTAAATTCACGAATATTGGTTAGAGAATTTGCATGAAATGCTCGAAAGATGAACTACTTCACTACACCGTGCCACAAGCCCACGCCCTTCTTCTCTGGCCAACAAAAAACTAACTACGCAAAGGCCTAAAATATGCAAGCAATGTCGTTGAGACTGTGCGCCGAAAAAGACGTAGCCTAACAGTTGCCAAACAAACAACGATATTAATATTTGATGGCATTAAATATGCTTCAATGATTTCTTTCCACCTGTAAGGCCCCACCTGCCTCAACTCGATGCCTGCCCTCTGAAGACCGACGGCATGTCAATGCAAATGGTGTGCCGCATTGAATAGTAAATAAGAAAAGCTTAGCGAAGCATAAAGACTGTGCAAATACTCTTGAAAGCGAGAGACGGCGAAGTGGGCGGGGTCGAAAGAGCTGGAGGAGTTGTAGTAGAAGTAGCTGTCGATGTCTTTATGTTATGCTAAATGAGGCAGCTAAGGCTACTTATAGCTAAGCAGCCATCAGTTGGCTAATGGAAAGGGTATGTGCGAAGTCGTCTAGACGGAGTGTTCCAATTTGTAGCTGCATTGTTTGAACTTGACAAACATTTTACATAGTTTTAATTAATTTGTGCGACAACAGCGATATGAAATGGCACACGCCGAAGAGCAGACGGTACAGTAAATATAGAAAACACGAACAGAGCTCCAGACAGATGTACGTATAGATCGAGAGTTTTTTTTGTTGGCTTTTGTTTAAATTACAAAATATAGTTAAATTAATTTTAAAGCACTGCAGGCGACATCAGGCTAATTGTTTTGGGACGTTCTCCTCTTTTGCTTTACTGCTATGACACAAAACAGCTTTGATTTTCCACTTTTCCTTTTTGCACTCAACTACAGCAACAGCAACAACAACATCAACTGAAACTAATCTGCAGCTGTGAGGAATATTGGCTGTATAAATTGCTTGGGGATTTCCTCTCGGTCGTCACACAATGAACACAATGCCAATTGAAATATAAGTAATCAAGTACTATATAGATTATATAGATTATATATATATATATATATATATATATATATATATATATATATATATATATATATATATATATATATATATATATATATATATATATATATATTTATTTATGTGTAAATGCCTTTCTATATCTTATATACAATGTGTCACATTCGCAAAGGGCTGAAGATCCTTTTCTTTAAATAATTCTCTCTCATTAGTAGGCAAAAATTTTCAATATTCTAAAATAATTTAATATTAATTAGAATATAAATAAACATAATAAAAATTCTTAATATAATTAATAATGAAAAAAAATTATTTAATGAGAATTTATTAAATCTATTTTAATATATTTTTTACTTCATCTCAAATCCATTTTTGAAGAAACTACATTCGTTCTTCAACATTTCAACTTTGTAGTCAGTCTGCTCTGTTAGAATGCGACAAACTAAGAAATACCCTCGAGAAATATCAAGCTTATAGTGCTGAGAGCGAAGATCTTCTCGATACTCGAATTTCCAATTGATATGCCTTATATATTTAAACTTATATAATGCTATGCTCACGTATAACAAGCAATGATACGCTCTTATAGATATCCTGTAATCCCTGCATATATTAATTTACGCCCACAGTTAAAAGTAAGCAGGAGTCAGCTTATATTCAATTTGAATTAAAATGTATTAAATATACCCTGTAATTAGTTCCAAGACTACTTTAAGAATATTTAACGATGCAGCTTTAAAGTAATTCACTATTGAAATATACCCTGTAATCGATACAGTGTGAATACAAACTTTACTAAGAAAGTTAAAAGTGTTCAATTATAACATTCCTTGTAATTAATTTAAAAGCAAGGCAACAACTATAGAAGAACTTAAGCTATCACCTAAGTAATACCCTATACTCACAGAAAACTAGTTTTAATTCACCATTTCAGATAGCTGTAACTGTTAACTATGCACAGCTATATAATACCTCACATATTCAAGCAACGCTTTAAAATACCCTAATACTTTAAAGGTATACTTCTCGTGCAGCCTACAATTTGAAACCTCCATATTTGCCCAACTATAGTATACCCTATATTTTTACTGCTAAGCTTTTGCTCAACTATTAAACACCCTTTATTACAAAAAATAAACATATTTCATCAGAAAAATCATATACCTCATACACGTCACAGGGTATTCGACACACTACTCTCACAAATTAACACACACATAAGGCTGCAGCTCATAAGCAACAGCAACTACATCAACTAGCTATGTGTGTGCATGTGGCCTAACGTGTTTCAATTTTGAATAGGCCTTTTCCGAATTTGGATGGCTTTCGAGCAAAATATGTATGCTGCCAAGTTTCTCAGTTTTAGGTGGAAAATTGGAATTTTGCGGCAAAGGCATAGGCAAAAGCTCTGGCTTGGCAATTGCTGAGATGCTTACGCTTGGATCCAAAACATTGCAAGAAGCTTAAACGATACGAGCAACTGCGTCTGCTTCCTTTCACTGTCAATCTCCACTTTCCGAGAGTTGTGTTGTGCTCTTATCATAATATTTTCATTTTCCATCAACAGCAACGATGTCAGCGGAGATGGGGCAGCGAGAGAGAGAGAGAGATAGACACACTCAAGTTTGTGTTCGACTTCTACTTCAACAGACAAGAGTTTGTGCCAAGTTTTCTACTCATTTTTGGTCTTAGACGTACGCATGCCATATTGATATTTGCCAAATACATAGATACTTTATCTTTATGCTCGACTGCAGCTAGAAGCTCGCAGTTAACAATAACAAACACGCACAAGCAGACACAGACACAGACACAGACTCACACTCACACACACATACACGTTGCATAATCGCGATTGCTGTCCTGCCTTTATTTGCTTTATCCTTTTGGCAAAGCGACGACGCCTCGCGACGTGCAAAGTGTGAAAAATTGTTTTTCTCATATACAATTTTTCCCTTTACATTTTACTTTTTGCTTTTTTTTGGTAGATTGAGCTTTGTGGAAGGACAGCACTTTATGAATAATGCATTACGCTTAGCTGCGTTGTGTTGTGAATTACGTTAGAAGTTTGCTTTTGCAATTGCTCAACTTTGAGCGCATGTTGGCTATAACGGCATATAAACGACACTACTTATGACTGTATTGGAAAAAGGCAGGTGCAAGTCAAATACTATGATTTCGATATGAAGAAACTGTGTAGATTGTTGTGAATAGATAGAGTTGAGTATCGAACACAAAATTTCTAGATTCGAACTTTAAAAACTTATCACTAAAGATTGACAGGTTAGGGCTTCACTTGTCTAGCAAAGAAATTGCAGGTTGTATTTAGATGTACACAAAAGTCTAGAATATAAATTTAGTGTTTGCAGCTCTTATAGTTTCTGAGTAAAATAGTTTATACCATGGCAAAAGCTAAGACTGAAACTTACGGTTTTTAACAATTTTAACATTATTTTGAATAGAGATTAGTGCAAGAGTTTCTATGTCAAATTTCATGCCTTTAGCTTTCATAGTTTCTCAGTTCAATCGGTTAGAGTTAGGTGTATAAAGTTTATGCAGTTAAAAATTGCATGTTTCTAACTGTAATACTCTCGCAGTTCAATTATATCATGATATGTGATATATGACCATATGGAATATCATTTATAAGAAAAGCCAAGAGCTAATATCCCAACAGTCCCCCAATTCGAACTAGCTATTTAATTCAATGTTCTTGTCTCCATTAATTTCCAAGATCAATGGGTTATATCATGGTAAATATGTCAACTTTACTTTTACAGAAAATAGTTAACAACAGTTGAAAGTTAATGCAACTCTTAGCATAAGTTTAAAGGTTACGCACACTGCAGTCTCTACAATAAATAAAACAATTTGAAATATGCTGGCCCCGGTGTTGAACTTAGTCGTTATTTACTGTATCTGTACGCCTGACAATGTTTGTTCAACACTTTACGCGCCACTCAAAGGCTCAAGGGACAAACACACACAAACACCCAAACCCACCCACACACACTCTGCCGTACACACCTGCACAATAACAATTGTAAATATTTTTGCTGCTGCTCTACAGGAAAAAAAGGAAAATAAAATAGAAATAAAATGGAAAAACATGACGAAAAAAGAAAAACTGAAATTGCTGCACTTGGAAATGGCGTAATAGCATGGAAAATCTATTGAGCACTCAGAGCGATATCGATAGGTAATTAATTCAGAAATTATAGCCCCAATAGTTGAAAACACTTTTGCTCTTGTTATGTTTTTGTGTGTTTACAAAGCAGCCAAAAAATAAGCCTAATTGGGTTATCAATAAATCGTACGTAAAATATAGGCCAATTTATGGGATTCCAACTTCAACATACTGTTCGTGTGGCATGTGCATGGCTGGGTTGGATGGGTATTTGGTTGCATGGGGTGGTGGTATTTGTGGTGTTCTGGCACCATCATCAAACATTGCGTCTGACTGCTGTTGAATTTGTAAAATGCAACGCATAAATTAGCATTGAAATAACATAGCCAAAAACTGTGAATTGTTTGGATAGAGAATTAGCACCCAACTAAACAGGATTTGCAAATTATAATGCAAACAAATTAAAATAATCAATACGCTGATAAGACAAGAAAGGCTGAATAAACAGGTGAAGTTTACCTGCAACATATAATATAAAAACAAACATAATATTATATAATCTATGGACATATGACATCAGATATGTTTCTATGGGTCTTAGATAGATCTTAAATATCAACTGATGTGTTGAAGTTGAATTTCATATAGTAAGCAGATTGCTAACAGGTAAAGCATGAATCAAATAGACAAGATTTTTAAAAATTTATTTAGAGAATAGAAAAAGGTTGTTAAAGAAAATGGTTTGATAAAAGATGCTGCTTATTGAACTATTATATTTTAAGAGTATTTATTTATTTAGTAAAATTCTTTTAATATTTTATTAGGTTAATTTATTCTAATTTATGGTTCCTCAAAAAGAGTTTGTGTATATATAAAAAAAATGTTGGTATAACTTTTCATAGCAAATTTAGAGAACAAGTAATGAAAGCAAAGAATTATCCATATAGACACAAAACGATTATATGTGTTAAAAGTGACAGCTCTGAGAATTTTGAAAGTAACACTCATATAGACATATCCCTACTTAGACTGTTATTACTATATGTAACAGAACCAGCAATATCTGTTATTATACCTCAAACATTCCATGTAATTAACTGTAATTGCATTACAACAAAAACAATAGAATTCGAAATATAAATTAAAACAACTTCCATTGCACTTAACCAAACGTCCTACCATAACGTTAGTATATAGTATCCGATTCTTATACATATATATACATTTTTGGCTGTGCAACCTTGGTTGCACAAAACTACTCACCTGTGTTTTTATTAATCGTCACCATCTGCTCATTGGAGCTGCTCCAAATCGATGACAATGTTAGCGGTGAATCGAAGCAAATGATGTCACCCACTGAGAAAATTGTCTGTTGGTCGTTTTGTCGTGGGGGCGTGGTTGCATTTTATTTGAGTTTTTTCCACCGATTTTCGTGTGTCGACAGATTCCGTAAAAAATAGCGACGCAGTTTGACAATTGTGAATAGTTATTTGATGGCCGCATGCGGAAAAAGGTTGAAGGAAAATTGATTTATGAGCAAACGAGTGAAATCAAATCAAATGTCAAATAAAAACTGTAAAAAGCTTGCAGCATCACTTAACCAACTTTGCAGCAAGCTGGCAGAGTTTTAAATTAAGGCCAGACATATTTATATATATATGTATATATATATATATGCATGTATGTAGACTTACCCGGATGGGGTATATAAGCTTCGACTCGGCCACAGACAGTTTAATGTAATCCTCAGCATGTTTAACTCCGGTTGAATCCTTTAAACTGATGGCAATCATGTTGCTTGTCTCCCGCTGCAAATTCAACTGTGGGCGAAATGCAAAAAAAAAAGGGAAAAGTACATATATAATATATAATATATATATAGATATATATGTATATATAGTTAGTCGAGTTTAATTGGGTTAGAGCTTTATCTCGCTCGCCCACTTTTGGGCTGTGCATTTGGAATTTAATGCATGTTTTTCGTAGCCAGCTTCAAGAGTTTTGTGTTTGTGGTCGACGGTCACTCGACAGCCCCAATTTTTAAGAGCCAAAAGCTGCAGCATGTGCGACAACGCATCGTTGCATTTTTATGTGGTGACATCAACGTGCCACAGTCCAGCAAAATAAAAGAAGAAAAATAAAAAGGAATCCTTGCCGAAGATCTAACGAATATTGTATACACTAGCCGACTCTATAAAAGGAAACAAGCGACTATAATATAGAAACTTTAAAAAACTCAGCTATCACACGATTGTTCCCATGATACCCAATCGAACTGAACACAACATATATACTATAAGCAGCAATAATACGCAGCTCTGTCAAGTTGCATAAAAAGCTGACAAGGCAAAGCTAAGTTCAGATCGTCGTCTAAGATATTTTGTTGTTGACTTTAGCATATTTTATGCGTAACTAAAAATACCCGCAGCTAGAGTATAAGAGAACGAAAATAGTGCTGGCCAAGCCAGGCGACGTGCCATGCGGCCGAACGCTGAGATTCTATTCCTTTTTTATATTTTATTCAGTTTTTTTTCTAGCTCTTTTATGCTGAAATAGTGAGTAGAGCTCAGGTGGCAAGGCAGGTCTTTGGAAGTGCATTAAAATGCAGCGGTTTTGTTGTTAGCAGGCACACCAAAAAATGAAATTGAAATAACTTGCTAGCACAAAGTTTAAAGTTCACATTTACATATAGACGAGTCGGCAAAGTCGAAAAGTAGAAGTTGGCATAAATACATATAAGACTGTCGACACTTGACTCCCGACACCAAAGACCAGACTCCAGACTCTCGACACTCGACACACGACTCTTAAGACGAGCGTCAAAGGAGTTGCTCTAGCACTTACCGCAATTGTCAGATTATTTCCAATCTGTGCATCGACCACATCCTTGGTGGCCAAATCGTAACGTAGTCCATTCACATCCTCAATATTGTGGGAGAACTCGTTGCCGAGATTGTCGTGCAGCGAAACTTTAAAAACAAAATTCATGCCGCGTGGTATTTTATGCTCCAGCTGTTTCAATTTAATGTCCGGCTGCAAAGTGACCAAAATGTATTGTACATTCTTCACTTCAATGCCAATGGGCAGCGTCTGGTCGACAGTTTTGGCCTGGCAAACATAAAAACAATATTATACATATATATATATATATATATATAACAATACGCATCAAATCAAATGCAATTTCCAAGAGGTAAGCCGATTTAAGGCCCCAGCAGACTCACAATTATCAGATCACGGCCGAGGGTATCCTTTGTGTGTACAACACCATCTGGCGTCACAGCAACAATTCCGCTACTTTGGCCATCCAACTTATAGACCGCATCATCCATATTACATTTCAGCTGTAGCGTACTTCGTGGCGCCGCCAAAATCCAATCCATTGTTATGGGCTTTGGTGCGAGCAGCTCCAGTGTTTTGAAAACTGCACAACGATAAAAATTTCAATTTGCGGTTTTCGCTCAATCTCTCACTCTCTGTCTCTCTCGCTCTCTCTCTCGATACACTATTTCAATTGTGGTAAAAAAAAAAAATACTTACCAATTAGCTCCACACTCGACGCGGGCAGCCGCAATCCATCCGGCAAATGGACAGAGGCCGTGATGGTAACCTTGCCGGGATTGAGTGCGCGTATACGTACGGAAATTAAATCGCTGCTTTGGTAGTCGATGCCTAAAAGAGGACCAGATGGACAGTTAGGCGTGTGTGGAAGTAAAGTTAAGAGTATATATACATGTGTACAATTGTATATATACATTCGATTTTTATTTAGATATCTAACTAGTTATATTTACTACTTTAACTTATTGGGAGATTGGACATAAATGCACAAAAATTTCTTTAGCTTTTATTAATTTTACAAATTGGATAACTACTTCCTTTTACTCTCTTCTGCTTAGGCTTTAAGCCTTGTTCGTTCCGTATCTGTTCCTGCACTGGAACTCAACCATGCAGGCTCATCGAAGAACTGTTTGTTCTGCGTGTACTTGGTGAGCATTGAGCTGAAGTCTCTGCGCAACAATGCGGTATCTGTGCACGCTTCCATAAACAAATACAATGTAGATTCTACAGAATATACAACATACTTATGTATCTTTACTACTAAACTCACCCGCTGCTGTAAACACATTGAAAATCTCCACAACATCCGGCTGATTGACTGACCAGGTAATCTGCATGTTCTCTAATGTGCCCAGCACCATGGGTGACAAATCCGGTTGACCCCACAGCGTGGCAGGCATCACAGCTCCAGCTCGTATGCGTACAAGAGGCGTGCGCACCTGGACGGCAGTCAAAGCAACAACGCGCACATCCACTGTGTCCTCCGAGACAATTTCATCCTTGCCATTAACGGGATTCTTTAACAGACAGCGACCAGTTACTCGTGTAATGCCCAATTTGTGAGCAGTAACAATTGCGGAGCTCATGGCTGTGCAAGCAAACGAGTATACAATTATTTGTTGTATTTATATAGCTAATATAGCCGCCCACTTACTTGCCACTTGTTGCTCGTGCACGGTGTAAACGATGTTGGTATTTGGTTGCGGTCCACCTTGGTAAAAGATTTGTATGCTCGAGCCCACAACGAGCGTTGAATTCCTTGGATAAAGCCGCATAGGCGCAAAGACCTGCACATTTAGTGGTTCACTGGACACCTGACGTTCACCTTTCCCAGATTGGAAGACAATCTTCGTCTCGCCGATGTTGTTGCCCATTATGCTGTAGCGTATTTCGCCAACACCCAAATTCTGTTGCTCATCCAGCTTTACAGTCAATATGGTAGGATCAAATACCAACTGGGACAGCTGATAGACGCTCAACATATCCGAATCAATGTGCAATAGATTTTCATTCGTATCGAACAATCGCACAATGGCCTCAATGGTATTTGTACGCTCCACTCGATCCAAGGCATGCACAGTGATCGAGCCAATGCCCACCACAGAGATGGATAAATACGCTGGCTCATTCATTAGACAGCGATCTGTAAGCTCCAATCGCACATGACCCAAACGCTGGGGAGTTATCACCAACTGCTGCTGCTTCTCATCATGGGTCACTTGCACGATGCCCTGCTCAGAGAGTTCCAATTGAAAGAAGCCGCTGCCCTGAGCAATGGAAATACGTTCGCTATGCGAGGGCGCTAAATAAATGCTAACATGATCCGTCGGCAACAATGTGCTATTAACTGTATGAAAGCGTATTTCATTCTCAATAACAGGCTTCGTGATTTCACCTGTCTTTAACTGCAATAAAGCTCACATATTAGAAATATATCGAACCGATATTTGAGTATATGAATAACTCACGTTCTTTACACCAAAAGGTGGACTCTCCGCATGAACGCCCTGCTTTGCGAGCAGCTTATCATTATACCGTGCCACCGTGCCCTTGATGCGGAAATTAGGCGCCACCTCATTCAAGGTCAAGACAAGCACATCCCTTGCAGGCAAACGCACGCTATGATAGAGCTCCACTTCGGCCAGCTGCTGATGAGGAATGCTATCCGTTTGATAGCGTTCATCGCCTGCAGCAAACTCCCATTCAAGCCACAGTGAGCTTATGTTCATAAGCTTGCGATTCTTGACATCCTGCACCTCAATCTCAATGTTAAACTTGTTCTCCTCCTCCTTGAGATACAACAGCGATGAACGCAGCTCCACAGGGCACGATGAGCGCAATTGCTGCCGAGCATAGAGCTTGAGGAAACGTGGTCGAACACAGTGAACCTTGGTGGTTATCTCTGCGTGGTAGGCAGCAAAGCTCGATGTGGCCAGCTGATTGTGCACTCGATACGTAAACTCAGTTTTGCCCAGCTCCCGACAGAGCACCGTGAAAGCGGTTAAAGCATTCTGTGTGTCGAAATCGATTTCCGAGACTTTAATAACTTTGCCATCAAATTTCGTATCCTTGGTGAGCTCCGCCTCCAGCGTAAAGATGCGTTGAGGTCCATGGGCATAGATAACATTGCGGGAAGCGCCAATGGGCAGGACAAGCTCATTCTCTAGAGGATTCAGTACTGCCAGCGGTTCAAAGACGTGCAGATCAACAGAATCCTGTAAAACTTTATCCTGGAAACTGTATGAAATGCGTAACAAGGTGCTGCCAACCGCAGTGCTGCGTAGTTTGAGAATATGACAGGCCTCCGGAGCAAGCGCATCCTGTGTATCTGGGCCAGCTCCATTTTCCAGCTGTAAAATTTGATGTGAGAAATCCAGCTGGAAGTGCAAATTATCACATTTGGTATAGGGCACGTAGCTGCCATTCACGTAGGCATAGACAGCCACATGGAGTCGCACATAATCCCTTAGAGCTGTCTCAAAATTATATTGTTTCACCTCCAGGCGTTTCGGAGGCAAAAAGTAGATTTGTGCTTGACGTGAAATCTTTTGATTCTTAGCTAAGCCCACACGAACTGTGGTATGTGCTGTTAGCTGCACTCCAGCGTCGATTAGATCTTGTGAAACGCCCGCCATGCGCACATCTCTTATCTCCGTGGTGGCTAAGCCTTGGCCATCGATTTGCAACACCTGTGGATTTCCCGAATACCACACGTAGTTGAAATCGCCGCCACTGGCGTGAAATTGAAATTTCTGAGGCTTTATGGTATTAGGATCGTAGGGCAGAATCACTTTATTGGGTCGCAGATTGAGCTCCTCAAAGACTTGCATCTCTGCCTGCACTGAGAGCTATAAGAGATCATTCATTAAAGTACTATAAACCATATATTACTATCGATATAACTTACATCCTTATAGTAGCCATATATCTGTGTGGATCCTTGTCTTCGCGTCTCTCCATACAAGCGACTGCCATTGCGCGTCTTCTCGAGTATTTTAAATAAAGTTTCATCCAGCTCGGAGCCAATATTATAGCGTGTGCCGAGCGTAATCTTTTGACCATCTGCGGAATATAAATCCAATGCAACTTCATGCCGCTCGCCCTTAACAGTAATCCAATTGTTGTAAGGCAACAAGCTAATGCCAAGTTTCTGAGGCTCTGCGACAGTCAACAAAGCACTGGGTCCTTTGGGCTTGTCAGCCGAACTCTCTTTTGGCATATTATGGTCCCGCAAATAAACCTGGGTGCGACCCAAGCGAGAGCCAGTCGCTACACTACTCTTCATATAAGCCACATTCTCGTCCTCCACCTCCAAATAGTATTGCTTATTGGCTGTTATATCATGAAGTCTATCCATTTTAAGTTGCAGTATGCGAAAGTTGACCGTATCACCAGCCATGATGGTCACCTCAGAGGGCTCAATTATAATATTAGCTAGCACACTAATGTACACCTCAATTGGTGGCACATGAGAGTACTCCAACTGAGGCATGCTGACAGCCACCTTGGAGGTGCCCGTGTTGATGCCCTCCAACAGGATCATATAGCCCTTAATGCCATCTGCTTCGAATTTCTCCAATGACGGCGGCACCACGTGAAAGGGACTGTCCGAGAAAGTGAGAAAGCGCAATGCCGGTGGCATATTACTACTTGAAGAAGATATGTCCCAATTGAACTCGATGCCCTCCAGCGTAAAGAATTCATTGCCTTGCGAGTCGAAGGCATGCAGCTCGAACGTTGCTGGTGCTTCCTCCAAATACAGCTGCCTGGTGGCTGTACGCACATTCAGACGATCAATCGTATCCACAATCACATCGCAGCGAAGCGTTGCGCCAGTTGCCACTTCCTCGGCGAAGACAATCGCTGTGTTGCGACGTCGCTCACGTGTCTGCACGGTAACTATGGCCTGGCTGGAACATTCAGTAAATCCATTATATACTGGCGTTACAGTTATGAGATCCTGGCGCGATGACGTCCTACAAATAAAACCATTATTATAAGTAATCCAATTTTAGGTTATAAAGCCGACGCCGGCTACTGAGAAATTTCACCATTTGTAGCAGTTGGGATCGACGACTTCCAGCGTGAAATTGATGGATTTGTCTTGAAATATCGGCAGCAGAACGCGCGGATGATTCAATTTCGCCGATTCACACACATTTTGTGATACAAATATCAGTAAAAACAAATAAAATTCGCTTTGCATTTTGGCACATGTAAGCGTCCGATTTTAAGAGTCGCGTTGTTTGTTACTGAACTGGCTCGAATGAACTGAGCAATCAGCAGTTAACTAATCGATTCTGGTTCGTACTTACAAATGAACCAATCTAGCAAAACTTCGTGTCTATCGATATCATTGTGCTATCAATTTTTGGCGGCATTTTCTATTTAATAATTTAACGCTAAATACATAGCAACTAATTTATGTTTTACGTATTTTATATTGAAAAATAAAAAATAAGATAAATACCCATGACTGTATTGCATGTATTTTCCAATGATATAGTTCAGTTCAAATGAGCTATATTGCTCACCACAATAAAGCAAGTTTGATTATCCGTGCTGGTTCGTATGCACACACAAAGGTATCGGAGTCATATAAATTCGCGGCAATTCAAATTATATGATAACATATATTTCATCAAAACAACAAAAATAAAACATTTACAACTTAGCAAAAGGGCCTTCATCATCTAAAAAGATATCCAACTGCAACTTGTGCATGTTTTCTGGGTTGCAGGCATACTTGCTAAAGTCCTTAACGCCACAATCCAACAATATCTCATCGTCCATAAAGAAATTGCCAGTGTATTCCCTGGCATCTCTACAAATTATCGCATATGCTGCATCTGCCATTATATCCGGTTTCCGAGCGTATTCAGCACTCTCTGATCCATTCAACATTTCTATCGCAGCCGTGTGAATCGTTGTACGAGGCCAAAGGGCATTAACTGCCACGCCTTGAGAACGAAACTCCTCGGCCATGCCAAGAACACACATGGACATGCCATATTTAGCTATGGTGTAGGCTGTATGATTGGCAAACCAGTGGGGCTTCATATTCAACGGGGGAGACAGGTTCAAAATGTGTGGATTAGAGCTCTTTAACAGATAAGGCAAGCAAGTTTTAGAGCTGTAAGAATTGAGATGAGTTAAATGAGTTTCTATTAATAAACTAAATCCATCACTCACACCAAGAAAGTGCCTCTTGTATTTATATTCTGCATTAAGTCATAACGCTTCATTTCCGTATCCAGTGTTGAGGTAAGAGATATGGCACTCGCATTGTTTATAACAATATCAATGCCTCCAAATTTCGCAACAGCTGCTTCAACCGCCTGTTGCACTTGCTTTTCATCGCGTACGTCCACAATGCAGGGTAAAGCTTTGCCACCTGCCCTTTCGACTGTGGATTGATATGAAGATAACACAAATAAATTCCAGTTCAATTCAAGTACAAAGTGCACTACGTACTCTCCGCAGCGGCTGTATAAATTGTGCCAGGTAACTTTGGATGTGGCTCAGCTGTTTTGGCAGCTATCACAATATTAGCGCCATCGCGCGCTGCTTTCAAAGCAATCGCCTTGCCGATGCCACGAGAGGCGCCTGTGATAAACAGTGTTTTACCCTGTAATTTTCTATAAGCTTTGTAAATATAATATAATTAATAAGCTCAAATTTAATTATTTACCCGTTGTTCCTCATCTTATTGCTACCAAACTTTCTTGTAATCTAAGCACTGTTGCATTGCAATGTGACCAGATGTTGCTAGATTTAAAATGTTAGTTTAACTGTTATCAATTCCTGTAAACTGTCACACTGGTCACACTTTGGCGCCTTACATTCAAACATATAACTGACATTCAATACATCGTTGTTAAATTGCCGCTGTTATCGAATAGAAAAAAAGACAAATTTACGACAGAGGGTCACACTTCAGTGCTATTAATTCAAAAACAAACTGTTTCCTCATACAAAATAGATTTAAATCTAAACATAAGAACAAAATATCAAATATTAACGCTTTACAACTTAGCTAATGGACCTTCTATAAATAAAGCTAAACTCAATTTGTCCTTATTTTCTAGATAGCAAGCATATCTGTCAAAGTCTTTAACGCCTTCATTCAACAAAACGTCTTCATCAATACAAAAGTTTCCCGTAAATGCTTTTGCATTTCGACATATTATCGCATAGGCAGCATCTGCCATTATCTCTGCTTTGCGTGCAAAAAATTCACCCTCTGGTCCAAAAAGCATGTCAACTGCTGCCGTATGAACCTTAATGCGAGGCCAAAGAGCGTTAACTGCCACGCCCCTACCGCGAAATTCCTCCGCCAAGCCTAGAACACACATCGACATGCCATATTTAGATATAGTATAAGCTGAATGATCAGCTAGCCATCGGGGATTCATATTGAGAGGGGGCGCCATGTTCAAAATGTGTGGATTATCGCTCTTTAGGAGATAAGGCAAACAGGCTTTGGAGCTATGGAGATAAAGTTCAACTAGGTTAGATTTATGTACGATATGATAAGCGTTGCACTCACACCAAGAAGCTGCCCCTTGCATTAACATTCTGCATTAGATCATAGCGCTTCATATCAGTTTTAAGTGTAGAAGTTTTTGATATAGCACTAGCATTATTTATCAAAATATCAATGCCTCCAAATTTGGCCACGGCTGCTTCGACAGCCTGTTGCACCTGTTTTTCATTGCGTACGTCCACAATGCAGGGCAAGGCTTTGCCTCCAGCTTTTTCAACTGTTAAAAACAACATTGCCTTTTAATTAACATTAATATGCATTTTGACATATTAACTTACTCTCCTCAGCTGCTGTATAAATTGTGCCAGGTAGTTTTGGATGTGGTTCAGCTGTTTTGGCGGCTATTACGATGTTCGCGCCATCGCGTGCTGCTTTCAAAGCAATTGCCTTGCCAATGCCTCGAGATGCGCCCGTAATAAATAACGTTTTGCCCTGTAATTTGCTATTAAAATATTATTTATATTTTCTTAAACAAACAAGTTTCTTACCCCGTATTTTTCATTGTTGACAAATATTTGCCGCTCTGCAGTGTGACCAGATCCAATTGACTAAAGATGTCATAACAGTGCCTTAGGGCTTAGCAGAGAACAACAAGTTGTTGCTGTTAAGTGCGTGAGTGGCATAAGTAACTTGCTCACACTCAGGTAAATATTTTCTTTTATTATATTGTTATTAATAACTCTATGAGATAAATTAACCGAATATTGCAACAATTTGCCTGCATTTTATTAAACATGAGATACATCAGAATTCTTTATTTAATATTCTCGACAATACTATCGCCCATCACTAAAATCGAAACATTATCCAGCACTACATTAAAAACATTTTACCGGTGGAAAAGTACGATGCGCCACAACTATAGAGACGCCGCCTGAGTGAACAACTAAAACAAAGTGATTGTCATAAAATAATGACAATTAAACAACAATTTAGTTGCGGAAACCTAAATTAACAATGTCAGAGACAGCCGATACCATCCAGGCGGCGACAGAGGATGCTTCAGCACACGATTTCATCGAACTGAAATCCATGGAAGATGTTGAGAAATTGGAGCAAACCCAAATTTACGCTTACATAGAAAAATTGCATGGAATTATAAGAAAATATGATACAAAGATTGCATCATATAAACAAAAGCTAAAACATTTTGTGAGATTTGGTAACGGAAAGATTTCTTTAAAAAAACTGAAATCAAAATATTCTTGCAGCTCAATAAGGAAACGAAATGTTCAGATGCAAAATTGGCGAATGGCGATGCAAAAGGAACGCAGGATAATGGCGTGGACGAAGAAGAGGGAAAAGAGCGTAAGTGTTAAAACGTAAACAATTTATTAATTATTACTATTAAGTTCTACATGGAAGATATCTTGCGGGTCGCCTATTGATACCCGTTCACAATGTGGCAAAGAGTATATTGGCTTCATTTCATTTTGCTGGCAACGGCAGCAACGAGGGCAGCACCACGCCCCGACCCATCCTCGGAGAGCATAATATCAAATTCCTTATCCGGCTTGACCAGCTTTTGCATCATCTCCCTAATATAACTATCAAATTTCGGATGAAAGCGATAAACAGAGCCATCCATGCCGACCACAACTTTACGGTCATTGATCTTATTGATCAGTCCACTGATGCCAATGGCTACCAAAGTTGCAGCGCGCCTGGCCACACATTCGCAGATGTATTTGAGTTTCTGGCAATCCTCAACAGACGCTTTCTCCAGCCCAAAAAGCTGCTTAACAATGCGTCGTGTGCTTGGGAATTCGGGAAAGGAATCATCTTCAATCTCCGATAGATGTTTCGTCTCAAAGATATCCACATTATTCTGCAGCACAGCAACGAAAGCGGCACGTTTGGTGCACTGCTTAAAGATCTTATTCCTCTCCAGAGCTCGCAGCAATACCAAACGCACCAATTCACCTAAATACATGCCTGAGGTCATTTTCTCGAACAGCTGTTCGGAGCGATTGATTGATTTTCGATCCACTTCGCGATCATAATCCGTGCGCACGAAGTCCAGCTGTCCATTCTCGCCAAAGGCGCCCCATTCCACATTTACAATCACCTGTTTACGACTGCCTTTGAAATTCGGATCGAGCAGCTCAACATTCTCCACCTGTTCCACATAGCAGGCGTTGCAGCCGGTGCCAACAATGACGCCCACACGACATTCCGGATTGCGATGTGCACAGGACATCAATGTGCCAGTCGTATCATTGAGCAAAGCAACGACAGCAATTTCTGCATCTCCGCGCCTTTGAATGGCATCGTGCAGCATTAGGCCCACATCGTGGCCCTCAACACCGGCACAACTGAAGCCCTTCGTCCACCTCGTGAGCATCGCCTCCTTAAGGCCCACTTGGACGCAGGGGAAGGAGAACGTGAAACCCAATGGCAAATACGCATTATGCATGTCATGCTTGGCCACAAATTTCGCCAAACAGTCGGCAATATGATCGAACAGCTCCACGCCAGGTCCAGTCATTAAGTCCTTGGGCACGGGATAGATTTGAGACTCTACGGTGGCATCATGGTGTCCTTTCAGCGTAACGAGCAGCACACGGAAATTGGTGCCGCCCAAGTCCAGAGCCAAATACTTGCCCATCTCATCGCCCGTGGGCAAATCCTGCACATATGTGGGAAAGCATTTCGTGCTCGCCTGTTCATGTGTGCTCCGTCGCAATCCTTTTGCTGTCTCGCTGCAGAAGCGAGTGTACACCTCTTGCACCTGATAATCGCTTAGCACAAAGGGTTGCATAAGCTCACGTATCTCCACATCGACCATTTTTTTTTTCTTTTATTTTTATTGCAACGTTGCTATCCGCCTGGCTCGAATGATGAGTAACGACTAACCAGACCACATGAAAGCACCTGCTAACGTCGCCATCTGCAGTCGCTGCTGCTACTGCTACTGCTGCACTTGATAAGAATTGCAGTAGCTCAAACTTTTGCATTCGCAGTTTTCAACTGTGTAATCTACGCTAGCATCTATTTGAAAACAAATCAACTAAATCTGCTGAAACCCAAGTAGAAATACGCAACGTGTGCTAAACGATAGATAAAGGCAAAAAGGCGATAGAGCTCATAGGCAAGGCATGCCAGCCTCCTTTAATACAGCTACATTGGAGCATATTAACTATGCCTGTCAGTTAGTATATATATAAGTTCTTTGTTAACCAGCTTGAAAAGTAATAGCATTATATAAGAATATCCTAATAGAGCCTTTATGGGATGTCTTTATTTACAATCAATTTGTTAGAAAATTCATATAATTTAGTAACCCCATTTAATGGGTCCCTGTAGGTCTTGGCATTGAAAAATTCCGCTTAAAATAAGCTGAACATTAGTATTAACCAATTTGCCTAAGATATATTAAGCGAACAACTAAGTTAGCCATACATGAACTAAATTATATAGTAATACTTCCTACAACCCATATTTATAAGCTTTTGTTTATGTGTAAAAAATCATTGTCGAAATACTTAAACCAAGATTGCAACTGACAATAATGACAACTGTTAATAGTGATCAAAAACTATATAGTTTATATAGGCAAACTCAAGCAAGCACGACTTCTAAAAGTTGCCCTTCAATAGATAATACCTCTATAATACCTTGGGGCATTTGTCACTAGTTTCTCTATGTGCATACATACGCTCTATCAGTGAAGATTTATTGCCCCCTATTTCCCACTATTTCTAGTTTCAAAGGGCATTTGCCTGGCTTATTTAGTTATAGATAAAAGGTTTTATTTGTTTGTTTGAACTCGTATTATAGTCATCGTAATTGTTGCAATGTCGAGCACGTTGCACATTAAATCTTAATTATTTGATTATTTTACTATAAAACAAAAAGTGATAATCCCAAGCGCCAAGTGCGCGCGAGATTAACAAAAGGTTCCTGGTTAATGATGTAAGCAGGTTGACATTAACTGCAGCCGCAAGGTAAATAGGCGATAAGACTAGGTCTCAAATTGCAATATAAATATAAAATGTTTTTAATATTATTTATAATCTTTTTGCAGTTTCGGCCACGGCTGCGTTTAGTTTTGTCGATGAAATGCGTCAAGCGGCGAAACATGCAGAAAACTTGAACAATTTCGTCTATGAGCCGACATCGGGCATGTACTATGATCCCAAGACGGGCTACTACTATAATGCGGTAAATATATATAGGGAGTGCATATATATATATATGTATAATTTACAACAACGTAATCTTTATGACGTGCCAAAGCGTTGGAGGTTATCGCTAAGCGATGAACCTACATCAACGCCTCTGCTTTATAAACAACAGCTAACATTGCCTCTCCCACTCTCGTTCTCTCTCTCAGGAATATGGTCTCTATTATGATGGCAATACGGGCTGCTATTACAGCTATGATCAGTCGAAAGATTCGTATGAATTTCATTCCCAGGCACAGGTGCAGGTAAGTCTGTGACAGTTGCAAAAACTGTGAATTTCTCTGATTGATTTAAAGTTAATGATGATTCTTTTACTCCTGTCCACCCGTCTACACCCTTCTACTGCTCCGTTAAGAGCGAGTCTCTTAGATTTTTAGCACGTTTTCGCAATTTGCGCATAGACCAAATGCGTTGCAATGCATTAGGTAAGCGCTGTGCCTTAGAATGTGCGATAAAAACGCGGATTTCGTTTCTTTTTCTCGCTTTCAGGCAAACAGCGCCGCAACCAACGCCGAAAAGGAGCAGCCGGATAATGAGGAGGATAATCTACACGATGACGTTGAGTTCGATGAGTATGGTGGAGTGATCACAGACAAAGCTACGCTGCAGCAAATCAAGGCGGAGAAGCAAAAGCTCAGAGATCGCGCAGCCAAGAGCAAACGTAAAGCCAAGAAGCATGCGAAGAAGAAGAAGAGAAAGGATCATCGTCACAAGTCGAAGAAGCGTCACAAGGATTCGGACAATGAGGAGAGTCGCAAGCGCAAATCCCGCGATGTGGAAGATGGCGAACTGTCACAATCGTCGAGCAGCTCCAGCTCAGAGTCGAGCGATGCGGAGAGCAGCAACAGCAACGCAGAGGACGACAATGAGGAGGCCTCTGGCGTGCCCATTTTCAAGTCCAACAGTCGCTTTCAAGGTGTCTAAAGAAATTCGAGTTTTTATCCACATTTCGACTAGACTCCATATATATGCTAATCTTAACCTAAACCTCCACAGACATTGCCAAAAAGTATCCACCCTCGCTGCGCATCATTGTGCAGGAAACGAACGTGCAGGAGCTGACAGTGGGCAGCCTCCATTTGATTACCTACAAAGGCGGCTCGCTGGGCAGGGAAGGAGTACACGATGTCATCATTCCAGATGTGAATGTCAGCAAGTGCCATCTAAACTTTCACTACGATAGAAAGCAGGGCGTCTACAAATGCCGTGATTTGGGCTCTCGCAATGGCACCATTCTCAACGGATCGCGCATGTCCGAGTCGAAGGAAGCTAGCGAAACATTGGATCTAGTGCATGGCAGCATCATTGCCATTGGGCAGACCAAGTTGCTCTGCCATGTGCACGAAGGCAATAGCACTTGTGGCTTGTGTGAGCCAGGACTGCTCATTGAGACGCAACCAGCGGCAACTGTGGCAGCTGTAGCTGCCAACGTGCTCTCACACAAGGAGCAGCTGAAGAAGCTACAAAAGAAATATGGCTTAGAGAATGAAAGTGAGTCGCGGAATGGATTCATTGATGAGATTATTGATTGATTATTTATTTAAATCTCATAGAATTTGTGGAGACGAGCGCCAATCCCAATCCAAATTATAATGATCGCAGCGCCCAGCGACGCATCAAAGTGGGTAGCAGCACGGATAAGGAGAAGACCGAGGTGGCCTGCGTGCATACGTAAGTGGAAAGTCTGGCAGGACTTGCAGGACATTGCCTGAGCATCAGCTTCTAATCTAATCTATTTTTTACTCTTTGCAGTGAAATCGCCAGCTCCAACAAAGGCTTCAAAATGCTCAGCCAACTTGGCTGGCAAAAGGGCGAAACTCTGGGCAAGGGCAATCAAGGATTGCTAACTCCTGTAGGTTTCATATACATAGATGAGGCTAGTCTAATACCATTCAGACTGCCCTCGCATACATATATCCAACTAGTTTATAACATACTTATTCTTTGTATATCCATATGCAGATCAATGTGGTGGCCAATGAGGGCACCACTGGCTTGGGCAGCAGCGATCCTTTGGCCAAGAGCGCCTCGCGATCCGTGGATAAACGCAAGTTGGCCAACTTGAAGATAACTCAAGCGCGTTATCAGCGCGCGAAAGATATATTCGTATTGTCCGATGAGAGCGATTAATGAAATTTCTTGTTTTTGTTGCTTTTTGTTTTTTAAGTTTGAAACACATTTAATTAACAATTACTCATACATTATATGATCATAAGTACATATATATATATATTATATATAGGGTATATGTAATTAGAAAATCTTGCTATATAAGGTTAAGCTATCAGTCAATTAATTAATTTAGCTTCGCTCAAAACACACACAAAAAATAATAAAATAAAATAAAATAAAATAAATAAAATACATTTTGCAAGAAGGAAAACTATAAAATACGCGTGTGCCAACCAATTTGTATATAAATTAATTATGAATTAGTTTATGTTTATGTTTAAATATGTTTTTTGTTTTAATACAAAAGCCTCTTAAGATATGTGGGTTTTACTTCTTTCTCTTGCCATGGATGCTGCATAAGAATTGTTGTTATATGTTAAACGTGCTGTTGTTGTTGTTGGTGCTATTTGCTGACAGTGTTGATAAATGCTCTAATACTTTGCCAAGTGCATATATATATGTATGTGTGTGTGAGTGTGTTGGTATATATATATTATATACACGGTTGTCAAACGTACTTCAAATGTACCAAAGCAATGGTACTGGTGTACCTAAGTGTTAAAAAATTGTACAAATTGATACTTTAAGCAATAGTAGAGTGTACCTAAGGTACAATTTAAAACAGGTGTTCCTTTAAATAATAAAAATAGTACACTGTACCTTACTTTTCATATAAACGTAAGAATTACCTTACATTTACAAAATGGTACAATATATCTTAGAACGCCATCTATGCCTCGATATCTTTCATATTGGTACCCGCTGGTACTTTTCTTAAGCAATAGTACATGTGTAATTAATAGTACAAGTTTGAACTATTCATCACCAATGGTACACCGTACCTAAATGCTGCAAAATTGTCACATTTTCTTAGTTTGTTGAAGCAATGGTACACTTCTAAAATATGCTGGTAATTTTTTAAAACCATTTCACTTTGTACCTTTTTTCAAAATTAGGTACATTTATGCTTTGGTACAACATTTTTCGATTAACTGACAACCGTGATTTGTATAGTGGAAAGTTTTGGCAGCAGCCTAAGGCCCTTGCATCGGTTTACAACACTAAACAAAACGCACAACAAGAATCTTTGGATGTTGGAACTACACAGAGAGATGCGCTATGTGTTTATACATATATGCGCACAATATATATATATATGTTTATGTAAGCTAATGTGATTTTGTTTGTTTGATAATATTTCGCTAATTTGATCTAACAGACGCCCGTGGATCGGACGCCTATGAAAAAGCCCGTGGCACATGAATCCTTGCGCATCTCACACCACGAGTTGTAAGTGTGATTGTTGTATCCACAGATTTTATCCGCTCTAAATGGCTGTGAACAAAGAGAAAATTTCCCATTTAAGAAAATAAATTCCCATTATCTGTTGTTGCTGTTTGCCACTCACCGTTCGCTGCTGTTTGCGTGCGCATTTGTAACGGCATGAGACGCAGCGGGGCAGATGCGTCTGCAGGTCCACCAGGCAGGTATCCTTTGGGCCGCACTTGATGTCCGCACAGGTGACGCGGTCCGCTGCAAAAGTAAATTTTTACGAGTCATACATTTAAAGCAGCTAAACTTGGTTTTTTTGTTAAGTTTTTGCATTTTCTGCGTTTTTATGTCTGGCAATTTCGGTTTAATGGCCCCCTCGCGCATATCCTGGCCGAAAAAGCGAATCATGTGAACTTTGGCAGGTGTTATTTCAAGATTTCTTGACAGGCTGCAGCTGGCATGGCTACGAAATTTTAATGCCTGCTCCTAATACCCTTCAATATATTTTTTACTTATTTTTTTGTGTTAACTGGCAACGCCTTGGTATGAGCAGCCAGGGTAATTATTAATTTCCTAAGAGAACAGAAATGCCGAAAGGAATTTTTTTAAGGAGCCATACTAAGATAATATTTAAAATAATAAAACAAATAAGCTAAAACCGATGAATTAAGCTAATTTCATTGTTGTGGTCAATATTTATTAGCTTATTAGTTTTGCATTATTTTCTGTTTATTTGTATTAGCGAAGGTCGTTAAAGGATGGGCCCCACCTTTCCGTGCCTACGCCCTTGATTATTATTTAGGGCAATTATTAAATTAAATTTCCTTTGTTTACTACGCTTACTTTTTCCGCTAGGTGGCAACTTAGTTACAATTTTAAGCGTGGGCTATTTTGCAGTGCCAAATTTTTTGTGAAAAAAGTGAAATAAAAGCAATTTAATCAAATGATAATTAAAAATATATGCGTGCAATGGCTGTCTGCTAACATGCGCTTTGTAGTGCATTTAAAGGGTGAGTGCATTTTTGTTATTTATCAATGTTTCTGGTCCATGCTTGAAAAGCGCTTACAGCTGTTTTGGCTTTTTTAAATTGGGTGTTGTTGTTGTTGCTGTTGCTGCACACTGCAATTTTCGAACGCTGGCACATTATTCACACCACAGGCAATGGCAATGTATACACGTATAATGTATGGAAGGACCGCCCCATTCTTGACATGCGCAAGACGGTAGCCAAAAGCCGACTCCGACTGCGGCCAAGGCAATTCAGCCAAGCGGCGCAGCCGCAAACGCACACACAGATACGGAAACACGCATGTGTGTATGCACTCGTATATCGTATATATGATCTTGGCAACAATGTTGCAAAACGCCCTGCGGCAAATGTGCGCAATTGCTTAGCAACTTTTGGACAAAGAGCAAGGGGGAGAGAATGTCTGCATAGTTGCAGCTGACTGCTGGAGAGGAGTGAAGGGGAAGTGTGCTGGATAGCTGTTGCTCACTGTAAGCGGAAATTCCTCTATAAAGCTGCTGCTGACTGAGAGGGGAAGTTGGAGAGAGAATGGGCGTGGCAGTCTGCATAGCTGCTGCTGCTGACTGCAATTCGTAACAGTTAAAGTTTATTAATTTCAACTGCCAATTTTCGCTGTAGGCAACGGTAGGCACAACGTCCTTTTGGTACTTGTTGATTGTGATGGATATGTTCGCTGGCTGCGCCGCCTGATAATGCCGTCACAATGCAGCCCAACTGTAATTTGTTATGTCGACGTGGTTTAATCAACGCCAGCGGCAGCACCTACCTCCGTCCCATTGTCCAGCTGTCCTTCCATCCGGTTTTAAGCAGACGCTTCTGGCAGCCGCCGCTGCTGCTGCCACTGTTGGCTGTTGGCGGAACTTATTGCAACATTGTGTGGCATGGCCAAAGAGTTTCGTTGTGGTCGCATGGGTCATACCACATATACCTTGTCTTGCGGACTGCGGACTGCGGACTGCAGACTGCGGACTGGGGCTGAGCTGTCTGGCCATTTTGGCATTGCGTGTTGTTTAAGGTGATTTTAATACGATCGTAAACTTCAGCCAGTCCAGACGCTCAGCCAGACAAAAGTGACGTCTCGCGAACAGCGGACGCAAGGCTCAAATTTTAGAGATGGCTACGTGACTGAATGTCGTAAAAGGGAAATTTTCTTGTCACTAAGCGCGGAGCCAGAAAGTTCGATAGGCACGAACGGGTCTAGCACATATCGATTTGTTGTAAATACTAATACGACTTACACATCTCCACAATATTGCATAACCACGAAAAAGAATATTTTGAATAAGTGAATGTATCTTTGTACATACAAATAAGCTTTGAATATATAATTATATTTAAAATATATACATTAAATAATTTCGTGAGTTCGTGCCTACGCTTCGCCCAAAAACTAGGCCCGTCTCCATCTCTGGCCCAAAGCGCACCGCAAGGGCAATCACAGAACTGGGCAGTCGCTCTTGCTCTCTCTCTCTCTTCCCCTATTCCTTTTTCCTTAACTCCTGCGCCTCTTCGTCTCTCTAAAATGGCGTTTTTAATGGCTTGTACGTGTAGTCATATTTCTTTGCCTTTGCTTGCGTTTGTGTGTGTGCTCAATGCCGTTGTTGCTGTTGTTGTTGTTTGTTTTACTCTTTTTTTGGGCTCTCTTACAGGCTCTCGATCGGGACAGTGCAAACATATTTATGTGAAAGCACATAAGCACACGAAAAACCATAAACTTACTAACCATAAAGATAAAATGCTTAAAAAGAAAGAAAACAAATGCAGAATGTATTTACGTGCGTGTGTGTGTTTGTGTGTGTGCATTATTTTATCGACTGACGATCAACGATAAAGTCGCAGACAGAAGCTGCAAGCAGAAGCTACACAGCTGCAGCTTGGAGCTGCAAAGCCTTTGCATGACAGGCAAACCAAACAAACAAACTGCACGCACACACGCACACACACACACGAACACCTGAATGCTTAAAAGCAAAAGTGAATAATTGTTAATGATGTTAATTTATTTTAATATCCGGCTACCGTGCAACAACTTGAACAGTCTTTAAAGAGCGGCTATAGGGGCAGGAAGCGGGAGGCGGCCGGGGCGTGGTGGGGACAGGTTGCAGCAAAAGGTGCGCAAAATTTATGAGTTTTTTGCAGCGCAGACAGCAAAACTAATGACGAGAACGGAACAGACAGGCGGACAGACAGACAGCGACGACTTCAAAGTATGAATGGAATACATGAATCAGTTACACCTGTCAAATGAATAGGTATTTGTGTAACTAAGGCCAAGCCAGGTAGTTGATGGTGTATATAGGCATATGTACTGTTATATATGTACTATATAACAGATATATAATAACTTATAATACGTAAAACTCAGATATATATAATCATCTTATAATCATCTTCTTATAAAGATATACATATAATATAAAGCTATATATATAAATTAAATTTAAATTTAAATTTAGTTTTTAACAAGTTGTTAAATTTATGTAAATGATCTTTAAAAAAACTGATAAGTTTCTCAGTTGTAGCATGGACGATGTTGAATGCTTTTTGCTGTGTGGCACGAGAGTTGCAGACATAAGGTAACAGTGTACAGTTTGTATAGGCTATAACAGTTTAGTATTTTTGTTAATATTATTCGCATTATCCAGACTCTCTTATGATTATCCGGATTATCCGCATGCCGTTATGACTATGCGCATTGTAAGCAATATGCATTCAGTTTTAAAAATACCTCTCATAAAACTAAAATTCATATAAACCCTCTTCTAATTTTATATAAATTGTATGAATAAAGTTATTATATTATCCGAAAGCTGTGGATTGCTGTTTATCTGAATTAAGGAAGCTGCAACAGATCAGTGTCCGTCTTATAAAACAAGTTCAAGTGCTCCACTTGGGAGTGCTCGACTTGGAGATACCCACAACCCTGCACAGAGCTGCTGCTCGTGCTATGCTTATTTTATGTAAACATGGCAAGCAAGCAGCTTGCACCTGCGCACCTAAAACTTAAACCCATCAAATATGAATACAAAATAATGTTAATAAACCCATATTTGACACGCTATAATTAATGGATTTCTATTCAAGTCGCCTGCTCTAATTGGCCAAGTTAAGTTGAGTAATGGCAGAAACAGGTAATCAACACCTGAGTATTTGGCGACTAATTGGGCATTGTCAATTGCCAATGTCAATTAAAGAGATGTGTAATTAAATGAGCCGCCCTACCTACCTGCCTGTAGCCCACCTGCCTAAACGCGATGCAAATCAAAGAAGTTTTTGAGCGCAGAAATTCGAATTGTTTTGTGGCTGTTGCTGTTCTCGGACTTTTGTCTTAATTGCAGCTATAATTTATTTTATTTTTTTGTTAAGCAATAATTACAAGCAACAAAAAACGACAAAGAACATAGCAATTAGCACGCAATTGCAGCCGGGCAGCCGGGCAGCCGCCTCTGACACACTAAACCAGTTTATAGAATCTGTCCAATTGTCTCTCGGTACTCTGTCTGTCTGTCGGCCAGATATGGCGAGAATGCAACACCCGCCACGCCTTTAATTGGTGCGGCGACTGACACCAAGGCGGTGGCAACAATTGCTGTCATTGCTGCCGTTGTTGTTGCTGCATCTCAGCAGCAACATCTCATTGTAGGCGGCAGCAGCTTGCATATAATTAATTGGAAATCGGAGAGTCGATCAATCGCAAAATGTAACCACAAAATTAATAAGCATGAATTATGCCAACTGAGACAGAGAGAGAGAGACAGAGAGAGAGAGATGCGCGACTGTTAAAGTAGAGCAATGCTGACAGCAACAATTGCTAGAGCAACAGCCACAGCAACAGCAACTGGCTAATCAAATTGCTGGCAATCATGGAGCCGTATAAGCAAATGTAGCAATTTCCAGCCAACAAACATTGAGCGCAACTTGATATGGCTAGCCAGTTGCAGACGACAGCGCGACAACAACACGACAGCAGCAGCAACAGCAGTAGCAGCAGCAGCAGCAACTTGTGGTTGTGACTCGAGTTGAAACCTCAGCCAAGTCAAGTCAATCAAATGCCAAATTGCGGTTCTGCGTTGATTGTTGTTAAATTTGCACAGCCAACGTTACCAACAACAATTGCAACTGCAGCAGCAACACCAGCAGCAGCAATTGCAATAGCAATAGCAATAATTTGCCAAACCGCTGACACTTGGTAGCGACTTTCAATTAGTTTTGATTGAGTTTTAAAGCCTTATCAATAAGTACCATCAGTTATATAGAGCTGGGCTAGATAGATAGATGGAGTGTTACGTACCACGACATGGACCCGGATATGCCACAGCAATTGATCGTCCAATTTTGCAAATCATACGCTTTATATCACAAGTGCTACGATATGTCTTCCCGTCGACGCCGCAAACTGCCCGCTCCTCAACAATTGGCGCCTCGTCTGGCTGGCCATCGCCGTCCAGATCGTACGCGATGTCGTCCCAGGGACAATCGATCTTGCATGTTATGCAGTGGGGCATCATGTATTGATCCTCGACACAGGTCAGGCCATTTACACACTGGACGCCATTGCAGCTAGCTGTGTGGGGTGGAAAGAATGAAGATTTTGTTGAAATTGTTGAGAAAAGTTGGAGAAATGTTGCAGAATATTTATAAGGGGAATTAGGGGAATGTTGCAGAAGGGGTAACTTAATAATGGGGCTAATAGGTAAATGTTGCAAATAGTTGATTAAATAGTGGGAACAATAGGGAAATGTTGCAGGAAGCTAAGTAATGGGGAAAAGTAGGGAAAATAGGTAAGGAAAATATTGAAAATATTGCAAAAATGTTATTAAATAATGGGAAATATACTAGTATGTTATAGGGGGGAAATAAAAAAAATATTGTGGAATGTTGAGAAGTTTATAGAAGGAAAATAGGGAATGCTGTAGAATGGTGATATAATAATGGAGGAAACAGGAAAAAAGTGTAAAAAGTAATCGGGTAATGGGTACAATAGGCATATGTTGTCCAGACTTAAATAAATAATAGGAAATATTAAAAATGGCGTTCTCTAAATGGTGTCCAGAAAGATTTCTGATGTTGAACAGCTTTTTGATTCATAGAGCAGCCTAGGAAATTGGTTAACAAATCTATTTGATCTCTCTTGCTCCCCATGAGCTTATCAAATATTCATTGTATTATTTGCTTGTATTCTAACAAAGTGAGTCTGATTCGTATGGTATGAGGTCCATGACCAAAATATGTTAAAAATATTCCAAAAGCTTTCTAATGCTTCTCTCAGTCTTTGACCAAATTTTTCTAGCCAAACGCGCAAACAAGTTGTCGATTTCTGCAAGACACATTTCCTGTATTAAATTTGCAATTAAATATATTTTATTTGAAATTTTATTTCAAATATTAAGCAACAAGAAATCCATTCATCTATAATCATATATAGAAAATCCATTGACCTTCAGCCAAGCAAAGGCAAATGTCTTTAAAGGCCAAAGCAAATTGAGGGCTGGCACATTTCATGTAACTCTTGGCAACAGCTACAGCTATATATACACATATAAATCTGCCAAACTTGTCAAATTGATGTATATATATATATATATATATATCCACTTGTGGTTGGTTATATAGGAAGCGACATTTAGCGAATTACCTTGCCTATGCAACTATGTGGACCATATAGGCGTCTATATGTGCTGATTGTGCTATAAATAAACTGTTTTTGCCAATTTCTATGATTAGCGCCAACAGATAGGTATATATATATATCTCAATATATATATATACTCAATATGGTTGGCTATAAACTGTCAAATTTATCATTGCATATGGGCCGCTGCAACGCCTTGGCGCCAACTGTGACACTCGCTAAAGAAATTGCATTCATTTTTCTGCACAAAATTACGAGGCGATTGAAAGAGTGTGGGAAAGAGAGGTGTAGAGAGTGTGTGTGTGTGTGTGTGTGTGAGAGAGAGGGAGAGTGCAAGTTCGATCTGCATGGCCAGATCTTTAGATTGCGCGATTGCACATTCCACAAAAGCTGGAGTTGCAGCACGCGCCAACATTAGAAGTTGCTGCTTCTGCTGCTGTTGCTGCCACAGCCGTTTTATGTTTTGCCACAGCTATGCCGCTTGCGGCTAATCCAACAAGTTCTACTGCTGCCACGGCCTCAACGTTCTTGTACGTTTTTATTGATCATTTGAGCATGTTTGCGAGTGCTTCCTGTATCATTAAATTATTACACAAGCGAGCTCGATTGGCTGCCTCGTCTGTCTGCCTGTCTGGCTGGCTGTCTCTCAAAGAGTTTGTCTGTCTGTCTTGGCTCAGTGGATTTCACCACTGGCGACAAGTTGTTGGCCGTAATTGAAATGTGCAATAATTTGTCATCTAATCTAATTGTGACGCCGCTGCGTTTTGGCACGCGAGCAACACACACCAGCACCACCACACACACACACACACACACATGTACGTTGCTACAGTACTCACTCTTGCAGTGGCCGCGATAGGCGACCTCCAATTGGGCGTTGTTGGTGCGGCAGGCGCGTTTGCGCAGCTGGCATTCGGTATTGTAGGTGCGTCCATCGTTGCCGCAAACCGGATTCGTGTGTTGCTGTTGTTGTTTTTGCTTTTGCTGCAGAGAGTGTAGAACGGAGAGAGAGCGAGAGAGAGAGAGAGAGTGTGTGAGTATATGCTAGTGTTCTCAATTTTTATTTTATTTGGAGAGTTCTATTCGCTCATTTAATTAACTGAGTTTCCAAAAACTTATTTTTTTTATTTTTGAAAATATTTTTTATATTTTCAATAAAAATTTGTTAACGCTAAAAATGTTTTTGCCTTCACTGATATATTATTTATAATTATAGTATAGCGACTATATATGCCAATAATAAAAAAAAAATAAAAATCAGTCACAAAATTTTTTTTCTAATTTTGTTGTTAATTTTTTTTTTTAAAGAATAGCAAAATAAATTTTTCTAATTATGTTTTTGATTTACTTTTTAAAGAAAGACAAATTTTATTTTTGTTTTTTTTTTTTGAAAGAATGGCGCAAAAAATTATATTTTCTTTAATTTTTTTTAAATTTGATTTTTTATTAAAAATATTTGCAAAAAAAATTTTTTTTAATTTATTTTGTATATTTAGTTGTGATTAAGTTTTGTGCATTATTAATTTTTTTAATAACATTTTCGAAACGTGTTTCCCACTTTAAAATAAAAAAAAAAATTTAAAAACAAAAACGTTGCAACAAAGTAAACTTAAAAAATTCTATTAAAAATAAAAATAATATATTTAGTATATTTTTAAATTAATTTTTTTATATATATAATGTAGTAATAAGCATAGGCTCAATTTGTTGCAGAGTCCTTAACTTTGCCTTTCTTAGTGAGTGAAATGAAATATATATTTTGCCATACTCAGCTGTGCGGTACAGGGTATATGTGCTTGTGGCATGCCCCTTTGGCGTATGCAATAGTTTTTTTTTTCGTTTTTGTTATTGCTTTTTTGACTTACCAGTGGCGCTCGTTCATAAATTGCTGGCAAAAATGCTAAATCATCGACATTAGCCAAGTGGCCGTGACTGTTGCCCGCTGATGACGCAGCCAATTCACTTCCGTGTTCAGGCAAATACAAGCGACGACGTCCCGAGCCAGAGACAGAGACTGAGCCCAAGCCAGACATTGTGGTATTTGCTGCTGTTCGTCGTTGATCCTTGTGGTTGTGCTTGTGCTTGCGCCTGCGCTGCTGCCGCTGCTGCTGCTGCTGCTGTTCGTATTGTTGCTCGTGATTTGGAGCATGTTGCTGCTGGTGTCTGACTCGCTTTGGCGACGTCTGTCTATTAATGTCGTTGGCGGGTTCATTAGCATTTGCCAACTTGTGTCTAGACTGAGATGTCTGCGCAGGCGTCGTGGACGAGTCATTGGCTCCTGTTGCTGCTGTTGTTGTCGTCATTGATCTTGTTAAGTGTTTGCCATTGTTGTTGCTGCTGCTGCTGCTGCTGCTGTTGCTGCTGTTATTTTTTCTATGTCTGCGCCGCTCGTTGCTGCTCCAAGTCGGCGTCATTCTCTCCATTTCTACCTTCATCTGCATTTGCACTCTGCCTCCAGTGCTACTGCTGCTGCTGCTGCTGCTGCTGCTGCTGCTCTCCATGTGCAGCCGTCTGGTTGTGGGCTGCTCTTGCAAATTGCTGCTGTCTATAATCAAAAGTCTTCTGTGCCTCGTCTCGCCCTGCCCTGTTCCACTACTATGACTTGCTCGCTTTGGCATACGCTTCTCTTGGCTTTGTTGCTGCTGCTGCTGCTGCTGCTGTTGTTTTCTTTGGTTATCAGCGCCGTTGTTGTTGCTGTTGTCGCTTTGTTTATGCTGGCGTTTGGCGCCATCTAAACCTAAATTGCTGTTTGTAATTTCGCTACTTAGACTACGTGAACCGCGCAACGATGACGCCCACAGTTGTTGCTGCTGCTGCTCCGGTGCATTGTGATGTTGCTGCTGTTGTTGCTGTTGCTGCTTCCGGCGCAATGTCGCTCCACACTCGGGCGCACACACACATTTTGGCCTGCCCTTGCGCTTCACGCACTTCTTGTTTGGCCCACATTTGAAGCCCTTGCAGCTTTCTGCAAAAGTTTCGCATACGAAATTGCATCAAATTAAACAGTTTTCTATAGCTTTTCTGTTCGTCCGTCTGGCTGTCTGTCTGGTTCACTCACCTATGCACGGCGCACACTCAACGCCGCCTCCGATGGCTGTGGCAAAGAAATGCTCGACGCTGCTTAGCTCGCGATCCGTGTAGGAGAAGGTCTGACTGGCGCCGCAGCAATCCGATTTTGTGATGTTTGTTGAATAGATTTGAGTGCATTTACCGCTGCCCATATGCGTCTGCCAACAGGTGCCGGCTGCAGCCACATAAGGAGGAAGAGAAATACATTAAATATACTAGAAAAAAGCATGGAATTATGTGAATCCTACTTTAAAGTTATGAAAATCGAATGAAAGAGGAATGAGTGAAGCAAAGAGAGCGCAAAATTTATGAAAAATGAGACGCTTTTCAGATTGACGAAAATACCACAGAGAGAGAGAGAGAGAGAGGGATAAATGAAAAAAAAAATAAATAAATAAATAAAGAGATAGTGATATAGATAAATAAAGAAGAGAGACAGTAATAAGGAGAGATAGGGAGTCATAAAGACAGAGACAGATATAAATCAAGGAGAGCGCAGGGTATAGAGATAAAGATAAATAAAGAAGAGACCAAAGAAGAGAGAGCAGAAAAAGTGCACTGTATGAGAGAAAGACAGTAAGCGCCAAAGCGAAAGGAAGAGAGCAAGAGAGTGAGTTAGAGAAAAAGTGAAGGAGAGGAAAAGAAAAAATATATGAGCCAGAGTAAAAAAAAGAATTCAGACAAGAGAGTGAAAGGGAAAGTTCAAGATGTGTAGATTAGAGGCATAGAGAGAAGAGAGAGGCAGCTGATTAGGAAAAATATGGCAAAAGCAAGTGGAAGAATGACAGAGAGTGTTTGTGGAAATAGTAGCAAAAAACTAAGAAAAGGTTTAGGACAGTGCAGGGAAAGGAAAGAGAAAAGTGAAATCGAAAGTATTGGGTATTAGAAAGAGAGAGAGAAATAAAGAGGAAGTGAATTAGTGAGCGAGACTCACTCAAAGAGATGAAGAGAGAGTGAGTGAATAAAAACAGAGATGGAGAGATAAATAAAATGAGTGAGAAAGGGGGAGAGAGAGATTGAGTGAGTGAGAAAGAGAGAGATTGAGTGAGTGACTGAGTGAGACACATACAAAGACTTATAGAGAGAGAGAGAGAAATATTGATACCGATAGAGAACCAGACAAAGACTTGAAGAGAGTTATTTACAAAAAGTAAAAACACTTTTATTCAACACCAACACACACACAAAAAAAGCACTTTCAATGCATCGAAACACTGCAGAGCCCACTTGAATTTTTGAGAATCGCAGAGGACGGCGCCATTTACTAATACAATGAATGTCAATTGCGTAGAGTCTGTTTGACTGTTGTCTGCTTACTGTGGACATTTTAAAGTGCTGTGGCACTGGGATATGGCAAATTGAAATCTTTTTGCTTTTCTCAACTACGTAATATTATTATTTGTATAATTGTTTAATTGTTATTGTAAGATTTGCCACAGCTATAAGTGGTTTTACTTTGTAAAGACTTGCAAACAAATTATAATCTGAGCGCAGCTGTTAAATCGATTTGTATAAATTTTCAAGTGAGTGCAATTAATTGAAACATTTACATGCACAAATGCTCCAATGGCTGCAAAGTTATTTCTTAATTAAGATTTTTTATAGCCTAGCAGCTCTATAAAACTAGATCTGTAGATACGTGTATGGAAATTCTTGATTGAGTTGATAAATTAATCAAATGTGAAATATTTGCCATTTGCCTTCGAAGACAACAAATGTTTGCCGGCTGTTAACAAATGACAGGCAAAGCCGAAAAATTTGTTTGCAATTTTTTGTACATATTTTTTATTTGCTTCGCTTGCGATTGATTCGGCACATGGGATAAACAAATGGGAATATGTTGAGAAATTGCGTCATATTTGAGAGGAAATGTGACACATTTATCGTTGCGCAGGAACGTGTTGAAGGCAGAGCGACAGAGACAGGGACAGAGGCAGATAAAGCCAAAGATACGTTTACAGTTACAAAGACAAAGCAGCAACTGGCGCCACTTTAGTATAACTGCTATATGCATATGTGTGTGTGAGTGTGTGCTTTATTATTTATTTTTGATTTTGGGTCAAGCTGCATGAGTCAAGCCTCTGTGTGTGTGTGATGGATGCGTCTTACCCGATGCGTGCCGCATGCTCAGCAGCAATGCAATTAACAAAGTCATCAATGGCTGTCCAGACTTGGCTGCTGCTGGCAACATGACGCGTGTTGCTGTTGTACCTGTGCCTGTTGCTGTTGCTGTTGCTGCTGCTGCTGCTGCTGCCGTGCAGTGGCTGCTCTTTTGTGGACTAGAAGTAGATAAATGTGGCTGGTGCTGCTGCTGCTGCCGCTGCTGCTGTTGTTGTTCACGTGCCGTTGACACCTCGTCATTAGCGTCAATGTTGTCGTCGTTGCCGGCGTGCGTATTGCGTGCATGTGCTTGTATTTGTGTATTGACGTCATGGTCATGGCCAGCAGCAACATCATCATCATGATCATGATCATGATCATTGGCAATTATGCGTCGAGCATAGCGCAGGCAATTGGCCATTGCCTGCAAAGCCATCCATATGATTACTATAAATAAACTTAGAATTGTGCTACATTCGCGAGCAGCAGTTGCTGCCGGTGCTGCCACAGTTGCTGCCGTTGCTGACGTCTTTGACAATGTTGCCGCTAATTGGTTTGGCTTACGCGCTGCGAACGGAAGTGCGCGCATTGCCAGCATGTTTCTGCGCTTGTATTTGTAATTTGATTTTAGAAATGTCAAATTGTTCTGACTGTTTGTTTGATGATGTTGTTGCTGCTGCATGACAAGGCAAACTAACAGCAGCAACAGCAATTGCTGTTGTACGCTGCAAATGGAGGGAGAGCCAAAAAACACATTTATTTTTATCAATTAACAATAATACGCATAAAATATGGTTTGCTATCCAGAAGAGCCATTGTTAGCGCCGCCAACTGCAGCCACTTGAATGGAGCACATGCTTCAAGCAACATGATGCAACCACAGCGACGGTGACTGCCACAGTCAGGCACAAAGAATGTTTTTGAAAAAAAAAACAAAAATACAGAAAAAAAGACTGCAAAGAGGCAACAATTAAGTCTCAAACGTTGAGTTGACATTGAGCAGGCGGTTTTCAAAATGCGACTACTAAAAATAAAGAACCTGTTGCTGCTGTTGCTGCTGCTGTCATCGCCGTCGTTGTCTGCAATGTTGCTGCCGTTGCAGAGGCAGGTGCGCGACTTTGGCGCATAATGCACTCGCGTTTGTCTTCTCTGCTTCGCGCTCTCTCTCTCTCTCCCTCTCTCCGTCTGACTTGCAGTTTGTTTGGCGCGCTAGTTTGGCATTTGTTTTATTTTGGCTGCTGCCGTCATTGTCATGACATTAAGGACGTGCTCAAGCCAAACCAAACATATGCAGACAGACAGCGTCAGACAGACAGACGGAGGCAGAGACAGAGACAGCGACAGACATGCAACAATTGCATTGAGTAGCGAAACGTGACTCGAGTGTGACTTGTGCATGTGCCGGCTGTTAGATTAACTCAAGCATCCTAATTTGCTCAACTTGGCAACGTCCTTGAGGCAGCCTACGCTCACTAGGCTCAGCCCTGGCCGTCTCTTTCTCTACCGCCAACAATTGTCAATGTCTTTTCAGCTCGTTTAAGTGCCGCCTGCGGCCTGCTCAGCCTGGCCCCCAAATTAGCCTGCTTCAGCGTTCTTTCCATCGTCTTCTTCTTTCTCTCTTTCTTTATTTTACCTGTGCCGCAGCCAGACATTGCACATTTCCTCGTAAACAATTAATGACCTACTGCGTCATGGTTCATGTTCATGAACGGGGCAGCATGCAGTCGGGGCTGCAAGCATGCAAAAAAAAAATAAAACAATAGAGCTTTATGCGAGAGTGCCTGACTAGCAAATACCCTTTAATGCAGCATATGCATATTCGACTATATATCTATATAATATCTATAAGATTACTTTATACATTTAGAGATCCTTTAAACTAAGTGGGGCTCAATTCTAACCTACATAACACATTTAAGATCTCTAGTGGCTATAATCCTGCGCAAAAGAATGAAGTTTTAATTTTTATTCTTATGAATCTGAAATAAGATATCTACTAAAAATATTGATACATACATTTAGACATCTTAGGAGCACCTACAAAGTAAATCTGGTGTTTTTAGCTCTAAAAGTCTTCGAGTTAGGACCTAAAAACCATGCTCAAAAATTAATAATTTAAAAATATAAGAGATGTAATCTAAGATATTGAAAAGAAAATTTTTAGAGAAAGTTTCTAACAGATTTCTGATGTATTTCGTTCTCATAGTCTGCGAGTTATGCGTAGAAAATGTAATCTTAGAAGTGATTTTTTCAGTTATTGAGAGCATGCTAGTAGTTATTGAGCAAAAATGTTTAGCTAATGCTGCATATAATGTACAGGAATACACTGTAAGAAATTTCAAGCTGCCAGCTTTTGAAGTTTTCGAGATCACGCATTTAAAAAGATGAATTGAGAGATGGGCAGAGTATCAAGCATAGATCTACCTCGCCTCAGCTCCTTCTACTAAGAAGGCAGAGCAAAAGGCAAGAGCCACTTCCAGGCTGCCTTGAAGTACCCTAAATGTATTCGCAAACAAACCATATACCCTATTTACCCACTTTCCATGCTTGCCAGGGTATGCAGCAGAAAAAAAATTATTGCGTTAACATGCGTTGCGACATTTTATATGATGGTCGCTGGGCTGGTCGCTCGGCTGGCTGGCTGGCTGGCTGGCTCTGTTGCCTGGCAGCCAGTGGCTATCCAGGTTAACCCGGCACAGCCAGACGCTGTCTGCACTGCCACACACACAGACACATGCACACGCACACAGACAGAGCTCGGCCTGACGTAGCCGCCGCGGACAACGTCCAAGTGCAGCACACGCACTTGCATTGGAGCTGCATTCCTGTCGTGCCTCGTGCAAGACGCAAGACGCTTGGCTATTTTTAGAACTGCATTTTTTTCTCCTCTTTTTTTAATATATATTTTAAAATACTAGCCTGCGTTGTTGTTGTTAGTAATAGTGCCTGCTTTCTACGTTTATTTTGCTTTTTTTTATTATTATCGTTTCGTCTGTTAATATTGATTTAGTTTTTCCACGTCATGTAGCGCCTGCAGTCTGCGTAGTTTCACAAATTTTCGAGTGTTTACTGTACTAAAAGTTTTGTTTTGTTTTTTTTTTTATTTTTGCGCGCGCAAATGCTTGACATTCCACAGTATTTACAAAACAACAACAACCAAAAATTTGGTTTTAAGGAGCAAAGCAAACGACAAGAACAACAATAACAGTGGGTTAAACAGTTAACGTTTGGACTGACATAACTTGAATACCCTCACAGGCATAACTATAGTTAGTTTTATGAATTCTATAGTTGCCCAAAAAGTTTGATATGATGTGCAGCAGATATGCTTTAAAGGAATAATAATCTATTAGGCCTGGCTTCGTAGCTGTCCTTAATTAAGTGACTCGAAAGTATTATAATATTTAGATATTTTCATAGTCAATCAGAGACTAAAGCGGGAGAGGATGCTTTTCTCCAGCCAGCATTATGTGTCAGCAAGACATATATTTTTGATCTGAATTGATTTAGGGTAGCTGGGCTTGAGCCTAGACCTAGTTCGTTAGCACGCAACAAACAATAGAAGTTCTGCTGAAACGTAACACTTTCTTTGGCATATTCGAGGTGCCCTTTTTCTTCAAGTGTATAGAAATGCAAGGAGCAGCCGCAGCAGCAGCAGCAGCAACAACAACAAGAGCCGCATAAAATGCATTCACCGCAGCAGGCAAAAGCTTAGCAACTGCATTGCCAAACCCCAATAACACACACACACACACATACATACATATGTATACATAATGTATATAGAAATACATATATATATATATATATATATATATATATATATATATATATATATATATATGCACTGTTATGTATATATATACATATATATTCTTATATAGCCTGCCTTTTTCTTGATGCAGTTTGACCGTTGGCCGACGCGACGTCGGCTTTAAAGACCTGTTTTCATGTTTTTTTGGGCATTTATTCTGAATTGTTGTTGTTGTTGTTGTTGTTTGTATTGAATTGCATCCGCTGGCGTCTGCTGGTGTTGTTGCTGCTGCACTTCAGCAACAAGTGCATTGCATATTCAAAAAGACGAACTTTCAAACTCCTAAATTAAGCTGCACCAAATTTGATTGTGTGTTGCACCTGAAAGCGAGTAACTTGCCACAAATAGTTGCAAAGTGTCTAGCATTCAGTTGCAGTTGCATATGGCATGCCGAATCTGGATTTCGTGGGCTCCAATGCTCAGGCATTTGCTTTTGGCCAGGTCAAGCTCATTAGCACATGGCCAACGATAAACAGAACTATTAGTAAAGCTGTGCTAAAATGTTGATAATTTATTATATATATACATATTGAGATAAGGAGAGAGCGTTGTAGATTTGTGTGTCATAAAACAATTGGTAATGTGATACGTTAAGTGTCTGACAAACATTGCGAAAGCTATGAAAATGAGATAAACATTTTATTATAAACAGTCGAGAGACAACTGACAAAAACATAGTATAATATATTATAATATATAATATATAATATATATTACAAAATTTGGCAACTATTCAAGATTCAAGTCTCAGTCTCAGTCTCAGTCTCTGTCTCAGTCTCAGTCTCAGTCTCAGTCTCAGTCTCAGTCTCAGTCTCTGTCTCAGTCTCAGTCTCAGTCTCAGTCTCAGTCTCAGTCTCAGTCTCAGTCTCAGTCTCAGTCTCAGTCTCAGTCTCAGTCTCAGTCTCAGTCTCAGTCTCAGTCTCAGTCTCAGTCTCAGTCTCAGTCTCAGTCTCAGTCTCAGTCTCAGTCTCAGTCTCAGTCTCAGTCTCAGTCTCAGTCTTAGTCTCAATTGACATATATTATAGGGATTACTTTTTTAAATAACTATCAGAAACTGTATATATGATTCTTGCAAGCTCATAATAAAAATGCTTCAAATATTGTAAAGAATAATAATGAATTGAAATGAAATATATGTTAAAGAGCTTAGCTTATTCCCACATTCCCACAGACACCTATAAATAAATATTATATCTATATATGTTATATATCATTTACTTTTTTGATAGCTTATCTACAGATAATCCGTTTACCTACGCGCCCAATGCCAACGTTTTTTTTTGTTGTTGTTTATTTGGCATTCCGCGACAGCCTGGGTCTGTGACCATTCATGCCGCTGCTTCCTGCTTCTGTCTTTAACTTCTTCTTTTGCCGCTGCTGCGTTGAGGCAACAAAGTTGCCGCCACGATTGCGCAATAGCTGTGCACAGCCGCCAGAGTTGGGGGCCAGCAGCTGCCAATCGTCTACGACCTGAGTTATTTTTAGCTTCAGCAGAGTCTGGCTTCAGCTCTGGATATCTCTCTCGGTCTCTGTGTCTGTGCAAAGGTATTTGCATCAACATATCTGTATATGTAACTGTGCCGTGTAGCAAGCGTAGGTTCTGGCTTAACCCAAAAAATATATATATATATTTATAGCATAAAAAAAGGTCACCCGCGTTCGGTTTCATAAATAACAAAAATTTCGCTTCTTAAGAAATTTTTGTATTTTTTTGCATGCATCACAACAGGAAATTCCTTTCAGCAAACTCATCAAGCTAAAGTAAACGTTTATATATTTTTTTTGGGCGCGAGATTAATGACATTTGGGCAGTGACACCTAGCACCCAGCCACGCCCACGTTCCATCCCACCTACCCCTCTCCAGTCAGCCAGGCAGCCAGGCAAGCAGTCAAGCAATGCCGCCCACTTACGCATACAAATTTGCATATGACAGCAGCCAGAGCAGGCGAGGATGTGGCAGTGGCAGAGGGAAAGGCCAGCATCGTCGTCGTCGTCGTTTGTTATGCAAGCAGTAAATTTTCAATAAATATACATAAACCAAACAAACAAATCAAATCAGAGGCCACACGACGACGGTCAATCGAGCAGCCAAACAGACGCTGCGGCTGCCCGAAAGCCGGCTGCCGGCTGCCGGCTAACTATATCTCTCTGTGTCTGTGTGTGTGTGAGCGAGTCGAGCCTCCCACTCTGAGAGAGAGAGAGAGAGAGGGGCATCAGACGCATCATGTGATCCATCTATAGGGGGGAGCAGTTGTTTGTTTTCTCTGCGCTCGAACGTCACGCGTTCGTTTGCATTGCACATACGCAGCGTTGGCCGAAAAGACAGACACTTGCAAAGTGCTGGGCACATATTTGCAGTAAATGTTGTTGTTGCTGTTGCTGCTGTTGCTGTGATCTAAGGCACACAGCGGCTGGCAAGAACAAAAACATTGAATGCCTCATTAACGCCAGCTTGGAAGACTCAGTCTCAGCATTTGGTAAACAGGAAATCAATAGGATTCGCAATCGTGGCTGCCAAAGTTTGAGAAAAGCGCGCGAGAATTTTGCTGATACCCTGAAACTATGCGCAGAGGGGTATATTGACTATAGGTGGGTAGCGATTTGGTATATATTTTTTTCTTAACAAAGAGCTAATTGATGTAGGGAGCAGCATTGAGGTTTCTTTAATCATGGTTTAGTTTCAAACTAAAAACTCTGAAGATCTGAAGATACGCTTATAGATGTATACAGATTAAAAGTACTTTCCGTTTTAATGCTCTTTTATTTCTACGGATTAAAAGTAACTTATTTTAAGGTTGTCTTTCAGTTCTCCTTAGAAATTATAATACAGCCAAATTTAAAGTTATTCAATCCAGTATTTGCTTGGATAGTTCTTAGGGTATCTTCTAGTCTCATACTTTCAGCTTTAAAAGTCTAGCTTTTTCTAGCTGTTGTTGTTGTTTATTTGCCATCTTAGTTGCGTGAAATTGTTGTTTACATATACTCTAAGCCCCGCTCGCACGTCTGTCTGTCTGTGTGTTTCGTTTTCCATTGGAAGAACAGAACTAAAAGACTGTCTGCACCCAGAGAGCATAATATATAAAAGAAATCAACCATCTAAATTCGTCGTCAACTTCATTATTATTGTTGCTGTTGCTGTTGTTGTTGTTGCTGTAGTCGCAGCGAATGAAAATAAATATCGTCGCACATTGAAATTGGATCTGTTATTGAGTCTTTCGATAATTCTGTTGACAGCTATGCAAGAATTTTGTTATTGTCTGAGAACGGCAATCATACGTGGAATTATTTTCTTATACATGCATAGAAAACGTTTTTTTTTTATAATTGCATGAATGGAATGGAAAAACTATTTGCAGCTGCCCAAAGAAAAAAAATACAAAAAATATGAAACAATTTGTAGACAGTTTTCTGCAAAAACAGAAAATAAAACACAATTTTCACACCTTGCTGAAGCAGACTTTGGAGGTGTTAACAATAATACTTATGTTACTACAATTTTACTGATAGTTAAAGTATGCTATAAAAGCTTGAAATTCTTAAAATATATTTAAATGTATTTGCTTTAGTTGGGAGTGAATGACCAGCAGATACCCTGAACCCCGTCAGCAGCAGCTGCTTCATATTCAATATACGAACTCAGCAGGCTTCGAAAAGGTAGCGACTTCTAAATAATTTATGTAACAAAATTTCCTGAATTGAACTGTGAAGCCATTTGACAAATGAACTAAAACTTCAATTCTAATCGAATTCATGAAAACGAAAAAGATTCCGAAACGAACTACGCGTGGCCACGTCTCAACGCAGTTCCTCTAAGAGGCGTCGAGATCGAAGCGCTTGAACAGGCCAACAGACAAACTAGCTGAACTAAATTGAGTCTGTTGTCGAATCCCGATCATGCATAATGTACACTAAATGAGTTCGACAATGCATTAAATTATTATGTCAAATTTATTATATATAAAAAAACTCTGCTTATATTTAAACTAAAGTCGTAGACTCTGTGAACCCATATTAATGTGATCTCCCTATAAAAATAATCTTGCATATTTTTTTATGTTCATTCAAAAAACGTTATTATTATTGTAAATTAATAGTTATAAAATTTGTTTGGCTTTTTATTATATTTTTTATATATTAAATAATTGAAGTATTTTTTATTCATATATTTCATATTATTTATTTGACTCAGCTGATTGTCTTAGGACTTTACAGTGCACATTGCTTTTATCATACATCTTCATCTAATCTATTTCGGATCTCCCTGCAGTTTGTATTTTTTTTCTGTTGATTCGTTTTTGATGAAAACCCAAATAATTGAAACTATTTATTGCTTATTAAATTAATTTGAGTAAATATTTGTTTTAGTCCCTTGAAGCTTAAAGCTTTTCATTGCTTAATAAATTCTTTGAATCATGAAAATAGGCAATTTATTTATATTTATATTTTTTAATAATGTTTATTATAATTTAGTTAAGAAACTGTTAAATGCAGTAATTAAAACAAAATAAACATTTGAAAATTCGCTTACCTCTTTTAGCTCTTGCTAAGCTCTTTTTATGTATTTTGTTTTTATATATTTATTATTATTATCATTGATATATTACCCAAATAATTTTTATAAAATGAATTTTTTTAAAATTTTTTTTTTTTAGTTTTATTACGTTTGTTTGCCAATTACTTTTTTGTTTTTGCCGTCAATTTTGCTTTGTAGATTTTCTCACAATTATTTTTTTTGGCACACTTTACAGTTGCTCGACTTTTATGACAGTTAAATGAATATATATGCCAAATGCAGAGTAAATATATATATATATATATTTTATATATATTTTTTTAAATATATATATATAAATGTATATGTGTATTTTATGTAAATTAAAAATGCAAAATTTGCATTAAGTTTGTGTTTCTTGTTCTTGTTTATTTTAGCGCGTGTTTTTTGTTGACGTTTGCACAAATTAATAAAAATCAAAAAAACTATATATTTATATAAAAAGGTAAATATAAAACAAAACAAATATTTATTGAATTTTTGTAAAGTTTTTGTTTAACAACAATTTTTGCGCGAAAAGAACAGTTTAACGTTGCGACTTTTTGTTATTTTTTGGGCCGGATTGAAAGACGTGCGCCCCAACTGATGGTCGAATGCCGACTGAATTTTGAAAACCAAAGTTCTCGCTTAGCTAGCCAAACGCAGAGAGAGGGAGAGAGTGTGTGTGACTGAGAGGTGGCTATGGATTGTGTGAAAGAGAGCGCGCGACAGTTTGAGGAGAGCGAGAACTTTACAAATGTTTTGAGAATTAATTTTTGTTGTTGTTGTTGCGGCTGCTGCTGTTGTTGACTTGTTGCTTCGTGTTTAAGGACTAGCCCGCTTTTTGGCCTGAAAGCATTTTGGCGAGCATTTGAAGTGTGCCGTTAAAAATATAAATTTCATTTTAATAAGTTAACTGCAAGAAAGAGAGAGAGAGTGAGAGAGAGAGATAGACTGAGAGACAGACAGTGTATTTGTGTGTGTGAGTATTTGGAGGAACCTGCTGCAGTTGCTGCTGCTGCAGTTTCAATTGCTGTTGTTGTTGTTGCTGCTGGTTAGCAACTTGCTGAACAGCTGATGTGGCCCATGGCTCTTAAACTCTTTTTTTTTAGTTATTTTTGCATCTATTATACCCTGTAGGAAGCATAGCAATGGTTAAGATAATATATAACATTAGGTTGTGTAGGTAGGTTGTAATACTTTGGCCTTAAGGGGGTATGGGCTGAGAGTACATATTTATCAGATGAACTAGACTAGAGCTAATTTGATAAGTATGCCTTGAAAGTAGAGATTTCGATATATTTCCATATATAATAAATATATTTTTAAATTTGTTCCAAAGAAAAACTTGCTTAATAACTCGCTGAACTGATGACTCAATCAAATTTTTTTTCAATTATATTGTAGTTTAACATCGAATGTTTAAATAAATAAATAAGTCTAACAACCTTAGCTTTTTAGCTTCATAACTCTTTTAGCTGTTTTTGGCTATTAACCAGCTATCTATCAAATATTATGTTATGCACTCAAGCAGTTCAGCAAGCAGTTGAAATTGATAAACATGCATTAATATTTGAAGCGGATGCAGATTCAAGAGAGAGGCATGGGCTTGCTGTAGAGCTGAGCTTACAGAGCTAAGGTTGGATTATTTAGGATCTGGTCAAATATATTATCTTTCTTCTTCAAGCCAACATAACTACACTCATATATGTTGTTAGAGGCTGAAGTTAAAGACAAGCACATACAGGATTAGAGATTTGGCTAAATTAGAAATATTTTGTATATTTCGAATCAAGCTGCTTATATGTTTAAATGTCTTTATGTTTAAAAAAGTGGTGTGTGATCAGATATAGCATACCTTTTTTGTCAACTGAGCAAATCAACTTGCTTTCTTTAGATCAAATGAAGCCAAAAACACGTCTAATCCTTAGCGTAGTTGTGTCTGAAGAGAGTTGGCTAAGGTCAGACTCAATTAACAGCAGCTTTGTCCGCAATGAACGTTTTACAGGGTATATTTCTAGTTCGGCTGCCTCAACTAATTCTTTGCTTTAGATATTTCTGTGTGTGTGTCTGTGTGCATTTCCGGCTGTATAGCAAGCAGCTGTGTCTATGTGTGTGTTTGTTTGTTGTGTGTGCTGTTGTTGTTGCCAAGCTGCGTGGCTCATTAAATGCAGCAAGTGCCATGCTGCGGCCATATAGTAAACATCAGCATAAACATAAACATAAAAATTTCTGCCTGGCCTTAACTGTCTATTGTTTGCAGCAGCAGCAGCGGCAGCTGAAGCAACTGCAACTGCAACTGCAGCGGGCTGCGAGCTGCAAGCTGGCGAGCTGGCCAACTGCTAACTGCTAACTGGGCAACTGGCAAGCGAGAAAAGCGATTTCTTTATGGCGCAAACAGCGTCATAATTTAGATCTAATTGCCAGATATTTGTAAAAACAAACTGCACGTCATGCACTAAGCGAACAGCGCGCTGCGATGCGACGTTAGCAAAAATTAAGAAATTTTGATGTGCAACAGACGGCGACGTAGCTACAGATATGGAGACATAGTAGTAGCTGCTGCTCTTGGCCCTTGGCTGCCAAGAGGAGCGTCGCTGAGCGTTTTATTGGGCAATAGCGTGTTGCGTGTGCATTAAGGGTCGCTCTCTCAGTCTCGCTCTCTCTCTGCCTCTCTCTCTCTTCCGCTTTCTCTCTCAACTTACTTTGGCTGAACTAATGACAAGGCAATGCATGTGGCAAACACATTTGCTTGCAATTCTGCATTGCATGTGTTGTTTTTTTTTTGATAACAATGTCTATAAAAAAGCTTTACAAGCGCGTACCACATGACGTATGCGCAATCAGCTCTGCTTCATCTCTAATTTGTGGGCCACATTTAAATTTGCGATTTTAGATATTTGATTTATATATTTATAGACAGACGCCCACACGTATTTACAGTAATTTTGCTACACTTTCATTTTGATTTCTAATATATATTTGGCAATTTTTAGTCTGTGAATGAATTTCGAAATATCCGGCACTGTCCGAAAAGCGCACATCAAAGTGCTAACTGCTGACATTCGAGCTGGATGCAGCCGGAAATGAATCAGTTTTCGATCAGAATGATATTAATAAGAATTTATGGCATATATACGATATATCGTATGTGTGGGTGGGTGTGAACTTCCAGTGGGTCATATGCGGCGTATGTGTAATATTTGATATTGACTTTTTATTATGAAAGGGCAACATAATGCAATATGTGCAAAGCGGAAGTAAATGTGTGTGTGTGTGTATTGGCTTACTATATATCGTATATCAAATGAAATGCTTGGCCAAACAAAAAGCTATTATGGGTAAACATCAAAGTCAGCTACAGTGAAACCTCTTTAAGCTAGCAAGAGAGACAGCATAAGCCAAAATGCAGCATTTGATCAATTTGAATAGCACGCACACAAACGCACACGTTTCTCACGCTAATTAGTGCGCTGCACTAGGTAGCTGAACAGCGGCACAGGCCGTTGCAGTGGGTGGGGATGGGGGCTGGGAGCAGGGGGCGGTGGCAGCTTAAGTGGCGGCAATTTGCGGTGCCTCAAGGATATTCGATGACAAAAAAGAAATTGCCTTGCGTTAAGCTGTCTGCCTGTTGTCTCGTCTAGACTGATTTCTGTGTGTGTAAACGTGCGTGTGTCAGTGTGTGTGTGTGTGTGTGTATTAGTCCGCTTAGGCTTGTTGTGCTGTCGGCACTTTACATCAAAGCAAAAGCCATTGCAATTGGCTAGACAGCGTCATTATAATCCTCGTTAGTCGGTTTGCAGTTGGACAGTGCAGCAGTGCCTATGTGTGTGTGTGTGCGTGCAACATAGTTGTATGTGAGTGTGTGCGTGTGTAGCATATGCTCGTGTGCATATGCATAAATTAATAGATGCGCCAATTTCCAACTTAAATTATGCAGGTAATGCACACACGTGTGTGTGTGTGTGTAAATGTGCCAGGCGTATTAATTATCTGAAATATGGCATACACACAATTTGTACAATTTAATTTATAACGAAATCTGTCAAACACAAAACAGTGCTGTAAAATGTGAAATTAATCAGAGCTCAACAATGCAATTGGCTTTAAGGAAATGCTGATTGCCTAGGGATTTTATTGTAAGGTAAATTATATTCAACTTGGGTGTATATTCATGATTTGCATTCTAATTTAACTGAGACTGTTGCATACATAAACATTTGAACTATTTCTATAAATCTTTACGAGACTTCAAGAGTTTGCTTTTGACTACATCCTTAACTATATTAAAAATGTGTAGAAATATCTTTAAACATAAATTCACAGTATAAAATTGAATATATTTTCATTTATGCATATTTTACGTGTATCAATAGTTCATTTTTCTTCATGACCTCAATAAATATTTAACAATTCAACGATTGAAAATTCAAAAATTAATTATTTCAACGTACAAAAGTATGCAATGCATATTTTTTATTGCTTTAATGAAGAGTCGCACACTGCTTGCTTGCAGAGGCAGTGTCCATTAAGCAGTTTTCTTACGCACTTTTATCTAGTCGTGACAATTGCTTGTATAACACACGCTGTTATACACTGGTTGCACGTATTTCTTAGTCAAGTGCAAAACCCTTAATGTGTCTCCGCTAAATCTTGGCAAACGTGATTAAAAATTTAATTGCAAACAATTAAAGGTGGTTAGTAATTTGGCTATAAAATAGTATGAATATCAAATTTATGATCAAGTGGCAGTTAAAATAAACGTTAAAGAAGACACGCTTCTGCTTGTAATAGCTATCTATATTTATGTATGTATGCATAAAAGACAACATAGCTAAGAGGCAACTATTAAAAGCGTGTGTTTAATATTCCACTAGCACTTTATATATTAATAAAAACTGATAATTATTTATGAGTATTATATGTATGTATATATAATTATATATATATAAGTTTGTACATATATATATACATTTTATTAAACCAAAAACTCCAACACATGCAGCTGCAGCTCTGAACGCTTCACTCGTTTTCCTGATTTGAATTTTAATTGAAAATGAAAAGAAAAAAAAAAGAG